AGTGTTCGTTTTGCCAGATCACAATATGAACGGAGCTTTAACACGCCCCCTGTACTTGCCATCTGACAAATGGGAAACCAACAGGTGCGGTATATTCAAGGGGCGGTTCTAAGCCCACAGACCCGCGGCAGGCACTTACCACATACCCCACGTGGTCCGGAGCCTGACCACGCCTCCCTTTCACCTCCGGGTCCCCCATTGGCTAATGAGATACACTGGGAGGAACTAATGTTATGAACCCGGTAAGAGTGACGTTCGGGATAGCGATTGGCTGCCAGGATGCGAGGGGCGGGACCTACTTACCCCTTTTAACACGGACATCCACACAGACACTTTTCAGCTCTTGACAAAGGCGGTTAGTCACGCCGAAACGCGCGTCGAGCAAATTAGCAATGCCGATGCATTCACTTTGAGTTTCTTTTGTGTTTTTTTATTTTATTTTTCTCACTTAACTAGACATCCTCTTTGTTCCTTTCATGACCATTTAGGGTCTATTTAGGCAGATGGGAGCTGGGGTATTAGGGATAACCTTTAGGCTGCCTTGAAGCAGCAGATAGTTATTTCTATCTCCCTGGTAATTTGGGAGTCAGCTAGCAGTTCAGGGCCAGCTGGGGTATTTTTTTGGTGCATTTTGATGTTTTTGGCAGCAAATATTCTTGGCTATTAGCCTTACATTCATATTATTCATACTGCACTCTGTTGATACATTTACCCTTATTTGCAACAGTCTCACCACGTCTAGGGACACGTTTACTATCAGGGTATCCTTTTTCAATTAACCCTATATTTACCCCTCTTTCCCCCCCCCCCTCCCCCCCTCTCTCCCCTCTCTGCCTCTTTATAAAGTCCTGGATAAATCTGTTGTGTATACATAATACCTTTTGTTCGGTTCTTTCTATAACAGTGTTTTCTATGCCAGGCAACTTATAGAACTTACAATGAGGATTTTTTCTAGTTAGCTTTTGTGAATACTTTTCTCACTCACTTTAAATATCCCTCAGGGGAACCCCTCTCTGGCAATTTTTTATAGCCAGTTATATATATAATTTTTATATGTATGTCTTTTTCTATTAAAGGTCTTAGTACCCGTTATATATAGTACATATATTTTCGTGAGGTATAGATTTATGAATGAACAGGTGTTCCACCTTTGTATTGTATTCTGGTGGTCTTCCAGTTCATTCTTCTCTTTTTTCGCATAGTTTGTTGGGGTTAAGCCCCCTATACCTCTTGTAACCTCTACAGAGTTTGGGGAGTTGAATAATTTCAACACCCTATACACTCTGTTCTTTTTTCTGTTCAACATCACAATATAGTGATAGTTTGTAGAACACCTGGGGCCTAGTATCTGTTCTAAGTTAAAACTGCAGCACCTTGTTTAAATTCCTGCCCATCAGAGATGCCAGTCAGGCAGCCCAGAGCTCTCTGTTCCAGTTTGAGTGATTTTTGTCACAGTATTAAATGTTACAGTAACCGTTCTTGTTCCACCCCAGAGAGAGCCGGGATCTGTAATTTGACTCTGACCTGTGCTTGAAATAGCCTGGTTCACTTGACCGCAGTGAAGATTTGATTTAAATCACTAGTTAGGGAGGTGTCTCTGTTTTGGCTGCAGGCAGACCCACTAAGCTGTGATTCACCAGGAAACTTTAATTTTATATAATGCAATACATTATGCAGTACTTCTTACTCCCATCATTTTCCTTTAATCTTCTATAACACTGCTGACATTATCACGTAAGCAGTGATGTATAGACACAGCAAAGGTTTTTTGGGGTTTTTTTTGGCTGACTTTATGTTGTAGAAGGCCAACAGCCAAACCACAACAACCAGAAACAAAGTCATTACATTATATCCAGCATTAGTTTAGAGCTAAAAAAAACTTGACACGGATGAGAGTGTAAGGGAGAGGCAGAAAGGACTTAGAGAGAGACTTATAGAGCAAAACGAATTACAGAAAATATCAAGAATAATTTTTAAAAAACTGGCAAACCCATAAATGATTGTAACATGTGGATGTCTATAGTGCCCCTTAAAGAAAATACCCAGGCATCCAACCCTAGGGCCCCAGCTTACAGAGAATTCTGGGAACTTATATCCAAAAGCATCTATAATACTGTGACTAGGCTCTCCCAGACTGTGTGCCTAATAAATGTCATCCACCTTGCAAAATGTGAATGCACAACATACGCCTTTGCATTCCCATCGTTTCTGTTTGTTTTACTCTATCAATTTGTGTTCTGTTCAGGAAGGATACGGTATCGGGGATGATGAGTATTCCTGTGCATATGACGGCTGCAGGCAGCTGATCTGGTATAATGCCAAAAGCAAAGCACACCAACATCCTTGCTGGAAAGAAGGTAATTCGAATATCCTTATTATAGAGGACACTACGTGTGTGTGTGTGTGGCCTGTCCCACCAGCTCTGTAATAGAGGAGATTCCTTCAATCACTTATTTAATTAACCAAGGATATCTATTTGTTGCAACAGAGGATTGAACTTTATCATAACTTATAATAACACTAAAGTAGTGCTGGTAAAAAAAAAACACCCAGTGACCATTACATTTATACAGGAAACCCACACAAAAAAATACTAATCCACGCCGGTAACACTATTCATAGCGAGTCGTTACCTTTTCTGTAATAACTTTTTTGTATGGGTTTATTGTGTTTATACTTCTCTATTTTTTATTTATTTATTTATTTTTTACCAGTACTACTTTGTGTTTTGGGTGTGTGGTATTTTGGAGAGATACTTTCTAAGTGGCTGTGGAGTATACACTCTTGTGTTGACACTTATTCATTTGTATACTCTTGGTTATATACTTTTGTATGTATGTGTATATATACATTTTTATATATTTTTTTTTACTACTTTAAAGGAAGTGTTTGGCATTGTATATTATGAATGATTATCGTTTGGTTTCAAACTTCAGAATCTATTGAAGGTTTTGTAACATGTAAAGTATGAATTGTCTGTTTTTAGTATTGCAATCATAATTTCATGTATACTTGGAGGCTAGCAAAGCTATTTTAATCAAATATTATAATCCATGTTTGCGGGAGATTTTACTAGTACAATGCATTAAAGCTGAATGCCTAACTTAAGCTTGCTGACTAAGATGCATACATCTAAAACTGCTTGTCATCTAAAGCATGTTTGTTTCTTTAATTTCAGGCGATACTGTGGGGTTTTTATTGGATCTACATAAAAAACTAATGATTTTCTCATTAAATGGGAACCAGCTTCCTCCTGAAAAACAAGTGTTCTCCTCTGCAACGTAAGTGGCCAGTATCAGGGCCCAAAGCTTTGGTTTTCATACAGACAGCCGGTTTTACTGGTCCTTAAGGGGTTAAGCAAAGTCTAACAGATTAGGCCTTGACTGAAATTACTCCATATCAATTCTATATGATACCATTTTCTGCTAACTAGTAATTTTTTCTTTACACCAGTGAGCATACATAATGGGGAATGAAGGAAGTAGATTGTCCATTAAAAATGTGTTGACCAGTTCTTGAAGAAGAAAAAAAATAAAAAATCCGCAACTAAATATTTTTTTACTTTTTCTCCATCTTTATGCAATTTAAAAGAACACTATAGGGTCAGAAACACAGACATGTGTTCCTGACCCTATAATGTTAAAATCACCATTTAGGTGGTTGCCCTCCCTTAGAAGGGGTTAAAACTCACCTTATTTCCAGTGCTGTGCTGGTCCTCTGAACCTGGCCATGCCCCAGATCCGCCTCGTTGGTGGCATCAGAATGTCCGATTTTTTTTGATTTTTTTTTTTTTTAGCCAATCCAATGCTTTCCCATGGGGAAAAGTATTGCATTGGCTGAAATCGGCAAGGGGGTGGGATGGTGGTGCGGCCAAAGGCAGTTTTGGCCAATCATCACTTCCTCATAGAGATGCATTGAATCAATGCATCGCTATGAGGAAAATTCAGCGTCTCTATGCAGAGTGTGGAGATGCTGAACATCAGTGCTGCCTACTGTGTTAGTACTACTGTGTAGCATCTCTAGTAGCCATCTGAGGAGTGGCCACTTGGAGGTGTCCCTAAAGGGGCAATGTAAACACTGCCTTTTCTCTAAAAAAAAAAAAAAAAAAGGCAGTGTTTGCGTTTAAAATGCCTGAATTCAATGATTCTACTCACCAGATCAACCACATTAAGCTGTAGTTTGTTTGGTGACTATAGTGTCCCTTTAAACTCCATCATTGGAGTTGGGATAGCTTAGCTAGGAGACTGTCCCACTTGGAGAGCATTTCCAGTTTGACCGTTTTGGCCTTGGATTTGGGGATTGGGTTAACTTTGAATTCCAGATGGTCCGTTGGTGAATAACCCTGTAAGCCTTCTCTCACTCCACAGACAAGAATAAGGTTTTAACTTCTGGTTCTAGGCCTGTGTCATTCCAGAAGTAATTCAGTTAGCTTTCCCATTGGGTGGCAATGATATGCGTTGTGAAATTGGAGCAATACATGTGCTCCTGTATTGTGAGTTCTCGAACCTCTTGTGAGATGAAAGGGCATCTTCCAGTGTGTGATGACTGCCGGAAAATGGACTGTGAAAAATAAAAATTACAGGAAGTAGTGTAGGTTTTATTCAGTAGAATTATAAAAAAAAAAACTCCTACTCTCAACTGGTACTTCTAAATACATTTTGTCTCAAATCTTTCTTTGAGAGGAGAGTAGCACAAGTTAGAAAAGGGTGAAAAAAACAAACCTCAAAACACACTCTTGTATTTAGTAAAGTGACACTGTCAATCAATTTCCATATGAAAATGGAAACTGTGATGCAATTCGTAGATGACCTCCTCCTCCCTGAAAATAAATACATTTTCTTTTAGTGAAAGTCACATCTTGACTTCCTATATCTTGGGTCAGACAAACCTATATTTTTCTGGTATTGCTTTTGAAGTGCGACTATTAAGATTATTTTACATTTCAAAGTGTATCTGCCATAGTACACTCAACGTATGCTGTTTTGTAAGAACATAAAAATCCATCTGTTCATTAACACATGTTTAAAGGACCACTATAGGCACCTAGACCACTTCAGCTTAATGAAGTGGTCTGGGTGCCAGGTCTAGCTAGGTTTAACCCTTTTTATTCTATAAACATAGCAGTTTCAGAGAAACTGCTATGTTTACACTGAGGGTTAATCCAGCCTCTAGTGGCTGTCTCATTGACAGCTGCTAGAGGCGCTTCCGCACTTCTCACTGTGATTTTTCACAGTGAGAAGACGCCAGCGTCTATAGAAAAGCATTGAGAATGCTTTCCTATGGACTGGCTAAATGCGCGCGCGGCTCCTGCTGAGCATGCGCATTCAGCCGATGACGTCGCTATGGAGGAGGAGGAGAGTCCCCAGCCTGGCGCTGGAGAAAGAGGTACGTTTAACCCCTTCCTCCCCCTAGAGCCTGGTGGGGGGGGACCCTGAGGGTGAGGCACCCTCAGGGCACTATAGTGCCAAGAAAAAGTGTTTTTTTGGCACTATAGTGGTCCTTTAACAGTTAGATATTTATTTAAAGTAATAATCCTCGGCCCTTCTATCAATCAATTCTTGGCATAGTGATCAATGCTGGAATATACCTGAATGCCCAGAATAGCTTGGCAAGAGAGATGCAGGAGAACCCGTATAAGTGGTTCTAGTGCCATCTCACAGCCACACCCACTCCCTGCCTCATCCTGCCCACTTCTAAAATAATTGATAGTAGGTAACTAACCAGGCAGGGCCAATAGCTTAGTTAGTGGACCGTGTAGGTAGAGTCTGTTATAATAGTGTGTAACGCCCACAAAGGCAGCATGATGTCTTGGCACAGAAGGGAAGATTTGTTGTTTTTTTTTTTTTAATTTAAAACTGAATATTTCATTAAGAATTGAGATACAGCATTGCTTAGCAAGAACATCTTAATGTATTTCCTAATAAGATAACAGGGCTATGGAGTGCCCCCATCTTTCTCTTTAACTCCTGGCCCCATAACTTTGACAGTGTTTTGGTCACTAGGTTGTTCATACATACTGAAAATCCAAAATGGTCATGGTTTGCCTTTTGTTTTTGGGGGTTGTACATCAATTTCTTATTTTGTTCTTTTTTTAGGTCTGGGTTTTTTGCTGCAGCAAGCTTTATGTCTTACCAACAATGCGAGTTTAATTTTGGAGCCAAGTCCTTTAAATATCCACCGACAAGTAAATTTAGCACCTTTAATGAATATGCAGTTCTTGCTCCAGAGGAAAAGGTTATATTACCCAGGTAACCATAACGATCATTACATGTAACGATGTGTCCGGTGTATGTTTTAATAAATAGTGATTGGTTTTGAATCGTTGGCTGATGTACATTGGTGTAATGCATTTACTGCTATAGTGATACAATAACGGTCCTATTTTCTGCCTCACAGTCTTGGCATTTGGAACTTTCATTCTTTCACGTCTTTGTTTTTGAGGGTTTATACTCTGCTCATTCCAGTAAACACTAAAACAATAAATGCCTAGAGTTGACAAGTTTTTAGTCTTAACTATAAAAACTGGAAGAATGGCGGCAGTGAAGAGTTTTACGTTTGGTCTCCTTCGTGTAAACCCCACTTTGGATGGTTTTTATATGGGGATTTGTGAAAACAATCAAAAGTATGTGGGGGGGACAAACAAACTCTAAATGAGTATTGTACCCCTCTTCGTTAAGGTCAATGGAGACTCAAAACTGGGCAACAGAGAGGGGTTCTGAGCACCATGTCCATTACAACTCCATTATAGTGATTCACATACCCAATCTCTTGATCCCATTCCTCTTTTGTGTCAAAGCATTTCAGGGCCTACAACCTAGACCCTTTGTGGCAACTCGGCTAGTGTCCGCACTATCCTTTCAGCACTGGATGGTTTCATGCAAAAGTGCACTGTAGCATCCTCAAGACTTCAACAGGAGGGGTGTGTTTTAAGTGTTGGGAGAGCCCGGCTGTCTGTCAAACCCCTCAAACTGTTTGACATAACTGAGGTCTACACCTTAAAGCCCCATATTCTCTACAGCTTGTTGAAGCAGTTATAATGCAGGATGTTAATTTTTAATAATTTATATCCCAGTTTTCTCATAAAACACAATCAAGGTCATTGTGGTCACCGAAAAAAAAGACCAATTTTCACAATTTCCTGGGGTTGTTTTTTTTTTTTTTTTAAATGGACGTAACATTGCTACATATTGTTTACATGTGAAACTGACGTGTGTAGATAACGGTGAACAACCTATGTAATGGCTGGTTTTATGGTAATATAACATTCTTAGTTTGCATTCTCCTGTCCTCCAAACTCACCTCTCATTCTGATCCTTTAGACACAGACGCTTAGCATTGTTAAAACAAGTGAGCATCAGAGAAAACTGCTGTACGCTTTGCTGCGACGAGGTGGCAGACACAGAACTGAAGCCTTGCGGACACAGGTGAGTGAAATGCTTTGTTTCTTCGTGATGAAAAGATGTGCTAATTTTACAATTCTTATAAGATTTGGTCTCTCTACATACTGCTTTTACCACAATGTTACATTCCCAAATGCAGGCTATACAGTCAATTGAAGTTTTCATTTCCTCCAAGGGGAAAAAGCCTGTGACCACGGAGTACCATACTGTGATGTTGGTTGCATGTAAAAAGGAAGAATGTTCCAAGCTTTTTGGGAAAAAAAATAAATAGTTTTTATTTTATATTGGTTAAAGGGATGTGCATCACTTGAGAGTGATTATTTATATATATATATATATACACACTTTTTTTTTTCTTTTTAAACCAAACAAACCCTTTAAAATATATTTTTAAAAAAAGTATATAATACAGACTTTGAAAAGTATGTATTAAATATTTATAAACTTGGTCAGATTAAATTATTGCTCACACCTCTCAATTGGGGGAGTATCTTCTGTCCTGTCCAACCAAACTTAGCTACCCATCTAATTTTTATATTGAAGAAATCCATACAAAATGTATCACTGAGAGGGAAGGGAAGGGGGGAGGTAGAGGGGATTTTAACACTATGGTGATTCGATGCAGGTTTCTGGGTTTGGGGGGGCTCAAGCTGTAAATTCCACTCATCCAGCGCTGTATCAGGTATGAAGTTTGTAGCCAGGATTCCACAGCAGTCAGACACGTTTCGCCCAATTATTGGCTATCGATCTCAGTGATTTATGTCCCTTTATTTATACAATCCATGGGGTAGGATATAGGAGAAAACTGTGACTAGGTTCAAGCTTTAGTGCAAATGCTGACTGTAACATCTGAAAAAGTCTTAAAGGAAAACATCATTGCTGTTGGTTATTATGAAGGTTAAACTAATAGGTCTGAGTTTTAAACTTCTTGGGGGAGATAGATTTTTTTTTTTTTTTCTTTCTTTAATTGAACTGTTTAACAATGACAACCAAACCCCAGTTGACATTTTTCTTTTTCTTTCCCAGTGATCTCTGCATGGAATGTGCCTTGCAGCTGGAGACCTGCCCATTGTGTCGTCAAGAAATAAAGACTCGCGTACGACAGATTGCCCATATTTCTTGACATTTGTGGAATAAATGCAGGAGAAAACTTTTTTTTTTTAATTTAACTTTTTTTTTTCTTCTCATGAAAGGGCATAAAGGCAAATATTTTGCTTTTAGACTTTTTTCTTTTTACTTTAATTTTTTAAAAGGCCATATTTTATAGCAACGTATCAGTGAATGTGAGAAAATGGTTTTACAATTCGCAGAAGGAGATTGGTTTTAGAATAACTTGCTTGATAAAATCTTCTATTTCTGTTAAAGTGAACCTGTCCTCTTAAAACAATATGGAGGAGGCTGTGTTAACCCAATTGCGAACACGTATAAAGGGTAAAAGGTACAATAACCTTACATGTTGCTGGCGCAGAGCAATTTGTATCAACCATAGGTAAGCTAATCTAGTGGTACAGGTGCTCTCCCAATGCAGTGCAAACGTGTATTCCTGCATTTAAGATGCATGCGTGCCACTAGGCAATCAGGAGTAAAATGACAACGTATTTATTTTACCCAAACATTTTCTGGCAATTTCAGCGCTTGGTATTATAGTTCTTAAACGGTTAGCTTGCCATCCACCCATTTGTAGATGACAACAGATCCACTTTAACTGGTCCAAGGAATTCCATGAGTTATTGATTTTTATTGATTTTTAATTTTTTTGCTCCTTTTTTAGTTTTTTTTGGAAGGTTTTGCACTAAAATTATCCATCAGATGTATTTGCAAAAACAAACTGTAACAAAGTGTACCATAAATCTAAAGTGTTTATTTTTGCCAGACAAAATACAGTATTTGACCAATATTTTCTATTCCTTGTAACCTTCTGCTGGTCAGTGGTTTTTCTGTATGAAATGTGAATAGCAAGTTGTGATTATGAGTAAGGCAAACCCTTAGGGCTTAATTTATATTAATTCCAAAGAGAATTCGTTAAAAAAAAAATCCACAAATTCATGCAATATCAAAATGTAAATTTTTTTTTTATTTTTTTTTGTGTGTTCACATCAGTGGTTTCTACATTTGGACGACTTCTACACTATTTATAATTGATTTATTCAGAGAAAACCCTTGGCTTTGTGTCTGACCAGATCATACCTATTTAAAACTAATTTGTATAAACGAATATTCTGTAAATTGCCATAGACCCAAAGTTACTTATATTGTGAACAAGTGCTTCGAATTTCCAGTGTGTTGATGTACATGGAGCTGTCTGTTGTTTCTAGAATAACATTAAAAAAAAAAGCGGATTCTGGAAAAAGTAAGCGCTTTTATTGAAAATGAGAATTTAACCACCTGCATCGGATTCCTTTGGAGCATTGATACACCAGTCCACACTGAGGATCAAAGTGACACAATGCAGGAACTCTTACCTTGAATGATCAGCGTCTAAAATCCATGTCCAACATGACCAGGAAATATATTACAGGTATTAGTTGGACACCACAGATTTACATGGTGGAGATTTACACACAGATTTTGAAATATCTTCCATAAACCGTATATTTCCAGTAACAAGAACACAGCACTAATGGAGCTCTATATTCATGTCAGTATATCTAACCTCTCCACAGAAATGCAAAGTCCCCAACAATTCCAGTTAAAGGGCCAATCTGGCCACCAATACAACTGTAAAAGGCACATGCCATTAAAATGAACCATTTAGTAGATATACACCAAAGAAAATGAATGTAATTTGTATTTGGCATTTTTTTCAGCGGGGATATATCTAAAAACCTTTTGCAAAAGCTGCAGATATGGTCTACAGTCTTTACAAGCACTCTAACCCCCGCGTAGACTTTTCCAGACTGTTCAATCAGACTTCCCAGTGCTGCCTCTTGAGTTTAGTTCCACTGAGCTAAGGAGACCAGGAAGTAACAGGACCAGTTGTATGGAAGCAAGGGGGTGTAAGAATGTTCATTTATAAAAGGTAGCTTTTTTTTTTTTTCTACAAGAAGTGTAGATTTTTATACTCTCTTCAGCAAGGTAAAGCACTTTAGGGGTCTGGAGTGTTCCTTTTTAAAGGGACACTATAGTCACCCAGACCACTTCAGTTTAATCCACCTTCTAGTGGCTGTCTTCCTGACAGATGATAGAGGCGCTTCTGCGATGCTGGATGCTAAATTTGCATCCATCGTGCAGAACGTCCATAGGAAAGCATTTCTCAATGCTTTCCTATGGACTGTTTGAATGCGCGCATGTACATTCCGCTCTACTCGGGAGCTGACATCGGAGGGGGAGGAGAGGTCACCAGTGCCGAGGGAGTGCGGTGCTGGATTAAGGTAAGTGGCTGAAGCGAGGGGGATCCTGATGGTGGTGGGGTCCTAAAAATGCTATAGTATCAGGAAAACTGGTTTGTTTTCCTGACACTATAGTGATCCTTTAATGCATGTGAGAGTTACGAACTTCATTAAAGGGACACTAATGGCACCCAGACCACTTCATCTACAAGAGGTGACACTTCCACGTCAGCAAGCTTAAAGGGACATGCATCACTTTAAAATATATATATATATTTTTATACTAGCAAACTTGTTTAAACAAATATACAAACCAAAATAAAGAAAACCTTTGAGTATGTAATAAACGCACTATAAATTTGATCAGATTGCATTATTGGACATGTCTATCAGCTAGAGGAGTTTCTTCACCCCCCTTCCCTTCTTCTTGCCTACCAGTCTGCATGTCAGACCAGTCCACTAATGGCAAACAAGACATCATTCTGCAGCAGTTGGACAGAGAAATTGGACTCCCTCTCTACTCCCACTGTTAATATGTTGCAAAGAAATAAGATCTTCCAACTGACCATTTATAAATCTGTCAGGCATGCCAAATGCGCTTTTCCAGCATTCCTTGGGATCGGACACTGATTAGTTAGATCAGTTTTCCCCTGGAGTGGGTGTGGAAAACATAAGTAAGAAGTATATAAACAAGAGTGAGGCAAAAGCTTTTGACAAATGTTTGTCTCATTATCATGTGATAATGTCCCTTTACGTTCTTTATGGGTTTACTGTGGGACACTAGGCACCAAAACTACAGTTTATTGAAGCTGTTTTAGTGTATAGATTGCCCTTGCAGTCTCACTGCTCAATTCTCTGCCATTTAGGAGTTAAATAATTTTTCGTTTCTGTTTACACAGAACTAATCACACCCCCCTACAAGTGACTTGTACAGCCTTCCCAAACACTTCCTGAAAAAGAACCTAGATTATTTAAGGTTCATGTATTGCACAGTCTGTTTAAGCGAGAATTTACTATTTCCTGCTCTGTTAAGAGTACCTTAGACCCTGCAGGAGCTTCCTGTGTGTGGCTAAAGTTTACAGAGCAGGAGAAACAAAATAAAAATTATAAAGCAAGTTAAACATCTGAAAGTAAAACCATTTTGTTTCATGCAGATTGTGTCACACAGCCAGAGGAGGTGTGGCTAGGACTACATTAACAGAAACAAAAGTTATTTTACTCCTAAATGGCAGAGAATTGAGCAATGAGACTGCAGTAGCATAATGTATCCACCAAAATTGCTTCATTAACCCCTTAATTACCATAGCTTTTGTAAAAAAAAAAGTTCTGAAACAAAACAGAATTTGAGCTATACGTCTGTTTAACCATAATTTACCTTTTAAATGGCATACCATGTGCAAAAGTAGACAACCCAGGGTATTCAAAATGGGGTATGTCCAGTCTTATTTTAGTAGCAACAAACCCTGGCCGAAGTTAGTGTTCATATTTTATTGCATTTTTTCCACACACAAAAACAGCACTTTCACTGATGATAATGTCATACGTTTTACTGCACTAAAACACTCATTGTCTCAGGAGTACCACTATGTACAGGTTTTCTGGTTTATTTTTAAGTTATAGGGTCAAATGAAGGGCTTGCAATTTTAATTATCTGGGATTTCTGCCTGGGATGTCAGGCAAGTCCCCTAACATATAATAAATAACATAATTAACTACACTTAGACTGGGGGAGGAGGGGTATATATATATATATATATAAAAATTCTAAGTGTGTGATATACATTACTAATATAATTGGCTTGTTTTATTCATGGAGGATCCGCTTGCAGCAAATCCAGCCGATCCATGTTCTATGATCGCGGGGTCATTGCGATCACATGACTTGGATTGGTTGCAGGAGGCCAGCTGGGGTTGTCAGGCAGTTCCCCCTGATCGGATCCGGCAGGTTATTATAATTCAAGGGGTCTTCACCAACATTTGAATGAGTTATTACGCCCTAACGTCGTTAAAGCCCATGCCATTCAGGATGTAATGACGTCCTAAAGCTGGCAACAGGTTAACCAAAGGTTGTTTTGATGCCTATAGTAGGGGCATCAAACCTTTTAGTAGTAATGTGCCAAATCAAGATTTTGAAGTCCCCTGGCTTGCCGATCCTTTTTTTTATTTTTTTTTGGAGATGTTGCCTTATTCTGCTTGTGTAATTTATGGGTTGCTATAGTTGCTTTGTATTTGTGTGTATGTGAGCTGTTCTATAACACTATACCATTATGTGTGATACCTATAAATGAATGCTATGTATGGTGGCTGCTTGTGTAATTGTGTATATGTGTGGGACTGCTTGTTGGTTGTTTGCATGGATGTGGACTGTTGAGGTCACTATATGTGGGGGCTGATTTAATTATTTGTATGAGGGGGTACTTAATCTGTGTAACGTATGGGTGGCAAGGTATATTTATATATAGACCAGGCAGGAGCCGCGATCGCTGCTTTGGGCTGCTCTACTCCATTATGGATTCCCATTCACAAGTGCTGGGATGAAAAGATCTGAGAACACTTCTTCAAAGTGCTGCAATACGGAAATTTAGGATTGACCATCTGCAATCACCACTTGGTTTGCACTTGGGACTCCTGCTAGGCCACTAGAGGCTCTGACAGCCTTGAGGGCTGTGCAAAGGCACCTCAAGTACCATAGGTTGCTGACCTCTGGCTCAATGATCTGTATAAGATGCATGATACACATTCCATACAAAAAAGGACCTTGAGTCTAAATAATAGTCTTAATTTCTGTATCTTCCATGCAACCAGCCAATACACAAAGCAGAGCCCCAATAAAGTGATTTATAGGTAAAATTATGTAAAATGAGGCTGTTGGTTTATAAATATACATATATTTGATACAAATAATAAACAGAACAGTGTTTGTATGAGGATAGAATACTATGTCTGGTTTGAGAAACATATGCAAAAAAGAAAACACAAACTCTTAAATTATAAAAAGGTGTCACAAAATCACAGACAACTAACAGTCATGTTTTGGCTTAGAGGAGCAGTACGGATACTACAATACAGAATATCTGATGTGAACCGGTGAACTCAAGGCTCTCCTACCTTCCAGCTGTTGGTGTACAGTTAACAGAATTCCCTTGATCTGCGAGAGAATTGCGTGAAATATACTCCAACTGGAAATGGGTTAACACAATGGAGTGGAGTGATATCTTGAGTTCTGGAACAGCAATTTCAGTGGCAGGGACAATTTCCTACAACAATAATACAGGGGCTGAAACCCCAAAACTCAATCAAATGAATAACGTGAAGTGGACACCATCTAGAAAGTAAATCCAACCGATAGTAAGTGGTCCAATGGTTTAGAGAAAAAAAAATAGTTACAAAAATGTAAAATATAATGCAGGATTCATAAATATAAAAAAAGCTTTAGTTCTTATGACGGTGGCAAAGAAGAGGTGAATAATGGAGTCACTACAAAGCCACTGCTCAAGTCAATACTCCTGCCTTCTTTCTCCTGGTAGGGGAGAAAAGAAAGGAAAAGGAGAAAATCACATAAGGCACAATTACTTTTCATCATACAAAAATATATAATAAGGAAAATTATTGCAGCAATCATCTTTTATCCTCCTCATTATGAAACTGGTCTCTAGATACATTGTAAATAAGGGTAATGAGAGATCTACATACAGAAAATCATCATCAATATAGAGCATGCTAATAGATGGGGGGGATTCACACTCTGGATCTCAGGCACCCCAGATATTTTGTACTTCACCTCTTGTTACTTTGCCAGCATTATGCGAGATGTAATCCAAAACAACTGGAGTGCTGAAGGTCGTCTACCCCCTGATCACAGACATTACCCTAATTTACAGTATCACAAGGTAGGTTAAGGGCAAGGGTGAATCTAAACCAACATTCACAACTAATCATGACTTAATTCTATTTGTAGGAAGGCAGATTTGTGATTTTGCATTCCCTTTCTAGCATGGTGGTTTTTTAATTCATATGATTACCCTCCCAATAAAAACAAAAACAAAAATATTGCTAATGTGGAATTGGAACGTCAGCAATACAGCAGGTGGGGGCCTCAGGGTTGCTTCATTTTGGTCAAACTGCACATACTAGCACCATAACAATGGCATGTTGTAGTTATGGTGCTTTGAATGAAATTTCAATGTTTTATAAAGCCAGCATAAAATAAAAACTTACAGCTTTATAGTCCAGGAACATTTCTTTAAAGGCCAAGAAGTCTGTAAAGGTGAGCAGTATATCAAAGATGTCCCCCGCTATTTCTTGTTGATGTGATCTATAAAAAGAATATTGGTAGCATGAGTTCTGCAACACAACAACAAAAAACTTTTGCCCTATCTTTATTTAATGTCAATACGAACATTCATTTAACGTACTCATAAGACTTTTACAGCTGATCACTGAATACAGAAATACTATTATATATTGCTCTTAAAGGACCACTATAGTGCCAGGAAAACAAACTCGTTTTCCTGGCACTATAGGGTCTTTAGGTCCCCCCCACCCTAAGGGTCCCACTCTCACCGGGCTGAAGGGGGAGGAAGGGGTTAAACTCTTAACTTTCTCCAGCGCTGGGGAACTCTCCTCCCTCTTTCCACTTCAGTGCTGAATGCGCATGCGCGGCTAGAGCCGCGCGCGCATTCAATCAGTCCATAGGAAAGCATTTCTCAATGTTTTTATATGGACGTCAGCGTCTTCTCACTGTGATTTTCACACAAAAAAGCGCCTCTAGCGGCTGTCAATAAGACAGCCACTAGAGACTGGATTAACCCTATTTAAACATAGCAGTTTCTATGATGGACCTGGCACCCAGACCACTTCATTGAGCTTAAGTGGTCTGGTGCCTATAGTGGTCCTTTAAGGTGGTGTTCAAAGTAAATATAAATATCCAAAACTTGGGAGTAAAAAAAAGGACACTGCTGCTACCTACTGAACTATTGCAATAGGTGTTTATAACTTTTGGCTTAAGAAATTAACTATATTTTTTTGCATGGCAATTTTTTTAGATTTTGAGAAAAAAAAAAGAAAGTTCTGCAACGTTCTGAACATTCTGCATCTTAACACCTCTTCTTTTTAGTCTCTCCCGTTGTACGATAATTCTCTCTTTCTGTCTCTCTCTTTCTCTCTCCATCTCTCTCCTAACCTGCAGTGACTGGTAAACACAGTTAGTTATACATGTTATCAGGAAGCACAGAAAATGTTTGTTTCTGGGAGGTGATGTTCAGCTAAAAGCTTTAATAAAAAGAACTGAAAGTCCCAGAACCCCACTTTAGGCAGAAGTGGGCCATAGTAATGCTAATCAGCACCCCTACCCCTCTTTACTTTATATGGACACTGTAACTGCTTCATCGTACACAAGTAGTTATAGTTGGAAAAAGAGAAAAAAACTGCGCTAAATTGTCACAATAAAATTATAAGAAAGGCAGCAATCCTCAAAGGGGAGTCCCCAATAATCCCCTAATGATAACAGATAGCAAGAACAAACAGAGATATAAAGATGCGCCTAAAACTTGAAAAAAAAAAAAAAAGACTAAATTAGTCAGATAAAATACAGAATAAAATAAGTAATAAAACAATAGTCCAATAAAATAGGCTTATCACAGTCCGTGAGGGTAGGTCCCACTTGTAAAGGAATATTCTTTAGGGTGTAGGTGGGATCGTATCTTCAAATGTTGAGAATTCAGCATATGTGGAGAGAAAAATAAAAACAGGACTCCAATGGCACAGTAAATCGGTGTATAAAATAAATATAAAAGTATAAAATCAGTCTTACTCACACTTTTCAGAGCTTGGATCAGCTCTGATATTGCTCGCGTAAAGTGGAATAATCCCCACTTCAAGGATATATGGAGTAAATGTTATATTTATTTTATACACCGATTTACTGTGCCATTGGAGTCCTGTTTTTATTTTTCTCTCCACATATATGCAGGTATAAACTGGTATGATTAGAAGAGAGTGTAATCTCTGCCTTAGCTATACCTCCATTAGGGGCTGGGCTGTGAGTGACCAGGAATGCTTACTCTGTGTCAAACTGATTTGAAATGGTTAAACACTGAATGGGGAGGGCTGCTAGAGCACTCCAGACACTATGAATAACTTAAAGGAACACTATAGTGTCTCTCTGCCACCCTCATCCATGGCAATTAAAGGGTTAATACCCTTTAAAACACTCACCTTGCTCTAGTGCTAAAGTCCCTTGGCGCTGGCTCCGCCTCCTCCAATGTCAGCACCAAGGGGGAACCTAATGCTCATTTGTGACCAGCACAGCGCGCACGTTACGCCTTCTCCATAGGAAAGCTTTGAATTAATGCTTTCCTACATGGGGATTTGAAGACGCTGAAAGTCCTCATGCAGAGCGTCCAGCATTGTTTAACAGCGTTAAAATCTGTGAAACAGCAGGAAGCGCCACTAGAGGCAATCTTAACCCTGCAATATAAACATTGGAGTTGCTCTAAAACTGCATTATTTTTTTTTAGATTGCAGGGGTAAGGGGACAGGGACACTGCACCCAGACCACTTCAATGAGATGAACTGATCTGGGCGCTTATAGTGTCTTTTTATTTATTTATATAATTCTTTATTTTTGTTGTGCACAAATTAACAAACAGCCTCAGTATGCCACAACAGCAGTAACAATATATATAGAAATTCAATATACAATGCAAAATGTGACATTTGATATTTCGGCACAATTTTTTAAGGTAATAGCGTGCATCAAGAGTTAAACTTTCACATCTAAATGCTACATGTGGGGTTATATGGCATAACTGAGACATGCGTATTACAAGCTGCATAGTTATTTAACAAGCTAGAGCAGAGACATATAGCTACATGCTTAAAGGACCACTATAGGCACCCAGACCACTTCAGCTTAATGAAGTGGTCTGGGTGCCAGGCCCAGATAGTATTAACCCTTTTTTTTTCTTCAGAGAAACTGCTATGTTTACACTGAGGGTTAATCCAGCCTCTAAAGCCTCTAGTGGCTGTCTCATTGACAGCCGCTAGAGGTGCTTGCGTGCTTCTCACTGTGAAAAATCACAGCGAGAAGATGCCAGCGTCCATAGGAAAGCATTATGAATGCTTTCCTATGAGACTGGCTGAATGCACGCGCGGCTCCTGCCGCTTATGCGCATTCAGCCGATGACGTCGCTAGGAAGGAGGAGAGGAGTAGGAGGAAAGCTCCCCACCCGGCGCTGGAGAAAGGTAAGATTTTAACCCCTTCCTCTCTCCAGAGCCCGGCGGGAGGGGGACCCTGAGGGTGGGAATATGTTTTCCTGGCACTATAGTGGTCCTTTAATAGCCTATAGTTTAAAACGAGTGGTGGCTATATCTCAGTGAAGGTGAAAAAATATATAACAACATGTAGTGTAAGCAGGGTGGTGAGCATGTCAGTGAAAAAAAACTAAGAATTTGGAGAAACAAGGTTTAACTGACAGAGGAAGGAGTAATAATACCACTGGGCATCAGATATTAATATAAGGAGCAGTCAGTCTTGGAACACATTGCAGGAGATTGGGTCTCCGTGCTGAGTACAAACAGGGGGCACTCGGAGTGCTTAGATGTCACCAGATTACTTCACCCTATGCCGCAAGTAGGTCATAAGGATGAGCTCCTTTCCTCTCTCGATGAGGCTCCCACTTTCTCTTGAGCTTGATGTGTGAGGTGTAGGTGACTGTCCTGCTGCTTCTTGTTCGTGAGTTGATGGTGCCACTGATCGTGCCTTTGGCCCCGAGCTTTTAGGAGTGTCGGCGCTCCATGAGCCTTCCCCTGCTGTTCATGCAGCCACCAGGCATTAGAGCTGGTAGCTTGATGCGTGTGTCTCCTTGCCAGGTTGGCAAAGTTGGAGGCGTAGCAGATCACAACACCTCTACTTTGGAGGTCTGTGCAAAGTGGAGTTGGTGTTCCTCGCAGCTTCGGACCACGTAGTTTCCTTTGCACTGTCCCTTTTAGGGAACCACTGGGGGTGTTTAGGCCTGAGGGCCCGTTGGGCGGGTCAGCTCCTGAGAGCAGTGGCAGAAACAGCGGGAGGTGAGGTAAGTCTCAGTCGATGTAGCTTCTCCCAGAATAGCTGGCATATGCGGTCAAACGCCATGAGGAGTTTATTCACTCGGGTGTGCATATGTGGGGTAGTGGCATCGGCGGCCACTTTGACCGTTGAGTTTTCACGCTCTGAGTCACCAAACGGCTTGAGATCTGCTTCAGGTGGTGTAGCAGGATGGTACTAGCCAGTGGAGGTCAGGAGTCTAATCGGGGGGGAGAATGCTGTGTTTCACAGGACAAGAGATCGGTCGCCCCTCTTGTCGAGTAGTTCTACCAGGCCCCACCAAGATTTCCGGCAGCTGCACAAGATAGTGCCAATTCGGCCTCCAAATTTCCACCTCTACTTGTCCGAGGACAGGTGAGTCTCTTTTTTTAGTCGTTTGGTGAAAGTCTGCTTAAATCGGCAGTTGAGCCCGGAGTTCATGTGAAGCAAGACCAGTTGCTATGAGGCTCAAGCCCCGCCCCCCTATAGTGTCTTTTTAAGTAAATTAAATGGTTATAGTGCCTACTTTGTCCCTTTAACCTTTGCAGTTGTAGGTTAGGCATGTTCAACAATTCAGACTTCATAAACTAGAGTGAAAGGCTTCTAATTGGACAGGTTATTTCCTGGAGTACACAAAGCTCTAGTCTGATGATGTAATGTGTAGAACTTTGCATAAAAAAAAAAAAAATCTTGGAAATGGACTATCTTTTGGGTTGGTTGGTTTTGTACAATTTAATGTAATTAGTTAATTAAATATTCAGTAAAAAAAAAAAAAAAAAAGGGGGTGAGGGGGTCCGTTCGAACTTGGAGTACCCACTTAAGGCACGCTTCTACAAAATGACTACAACTACTTCAGTGACTTACTGCAGTGATGCTGTGAATGCATTCATGTTAAATGTGGGAATCCGCAGCAATAGCTGTTCCTCGATAAACTTCTCCACTAAACAGATCTAGAAACACAAACTGGTTAGCATCACAAATGAATAGAAACAAAAGTGAAACATCCAACTCTTTGTATTATTGTATAAATATAAGCAGCTCTGCAAAAGGAACAATAATAACAGATGTATCCTGTACACTTTATACAAAGAAGCTGTGGGGAAATTAAAAAAAAAAAAAAAGTTAAGGCAGAAGAGGTCACACTCAGTAGAAACACTAGCCACGTACAATAGCAGCGATACAAATGATATATTCACAATCACACAGATTTGGGAGGTTGTTTTTTTATTTCCATTTTTGTCAAGTCATGAAGATTTTCACGTATTGAAGAGAACTTATGAAGACTTGAAGTCCATCTTATTTATCATCATTTATGCAAATAAAACTTTTGTTTTGTTTTTTAACCCATTGACAACCACATGAAGATGTATGCTGTCATGCAGTGCAGAGCTTTAACACAAAGATCATTGTGCATTCAATTACTAGCAGGATAAATCGCTGCTAAATCAAGGAGCCCCAGGTATCACTGACTGTCAGCTGGGGCCCCAGACTGACAAATGAGCTACGTGCAAGCCCTTCAAATCCATTTAAATACCAATTCTGAGGCTTCACAACTTAAAGGGACGCTATAGTCACCAGAACAACTACAGCTTTAAGGAGTTGTTCTGGTGAGTATAGTATGTGCATGCAGGCATTTTCTTGTAATCAATGTCTTTTCAGAGAAAAGGCAGTGTTTACATTGCTGCCTAGGGACATCTCTAGTGGCAGATATTCAGAAGGCTACAAGAGGTGCTTCCTGGGGCAGTGCTGCATAGTGTGAATGACGTTCAGTGTCTCCCCGCTTTTCATGGAGACGCTGAACTTTCCCTTTAGAGATGCATTGATTAAATGCATCTCTATGAGGAGATGCTGATTAGCCAGTGCAATGTTCCTCTGGGAAAGCATTGGACTGGCTAAGATCATCAATTCTGAAAGCGAAAAAAAGTTTTTACTGTAAGGGGGTAGGGGAGAGGGTACCCTATCGTGTTCCTTTATAAACAGGGAGCTTGTATCTTAGTGGCCCCAATTATTTTTGTGTAGTGGTTTTGGATTTTGTGACTGCTGTAAAAGTTGTAATCTCAGCATGCTAAATTTTGCACGCTTTAGCTTTAATATTTAATTCACTCCTTTCAATATTTGTTTTATAACTTATAAAAAAAAAATGTTTTTAACTTATAAAAATGGCCAATATGTCTAGATTGTTAAAATGCCCAATAGGTCTAGAATTTCAATCAGGAATAATTAGAGAATCTATGTTGCGCTTATTATGTAGAAATTACTAAAGGTAAGCTGTGGGGAGAATTTTTTATTTAGGGTATCAAACAAAAGCTATATTTCTCCTTTAAAAAATGATCTATAATATGTATGGAAATTATCTATAATATGTATGAGTGTGCTTAAATAGAAAGGGTGAAATTGTGGTAAAAGCTGTAGTCACACACAAAGGCGTCACATCTCCAAGAGCCCTGGTCCTTAAAAGGACCACTCTAGGCACCCAGAAAACTTCAGCTCAATGAAGTGGTCTGGGTGCCAGGTCCCCCTAGTTTTAACCCTGCAGCTGTAAACATAGAAGTTTAAGAGAAACTGCTATGTTTTCATTGAGGGTTAATCCAGCTTCTAGTGGCTGTCTCCCTGACAGCCACTAGCGGCGCTTCCGCGATTCTCAGTGTGAAAATCACACTGAGATGACGCTGACGTCCATAGGAAAGCATTGAGTAATGCTTTCCTATGGGCGGTTTGAATGCGCTTGCTTCTCTTGCCGCGCATGCACATTCGGAGATGACGCCGACAAGAGGCGGTGAGGTCACCAGCGCCGAGGAAGCCAGGAGCTGGATTAAGGTAAGCTCTGTATTACAGAACGCGAAGGGGGCCCTGAGGGAGGGGGGGACCTAATAACCCTATAGTGCCAGGAAAAAGGGTTTGTTTTTTTGGCACTACATGTGAATGTCCATATTTATAGGAGATAAAATCTGGAATTAGCTGTGCTACTTCCATTGAGTACCTTTCTAAAGCATTTCTGTGAACGAGTGGCCAGTAATAGCCTACCAGTGTCAGCTGAGAGGCCTAGAGGACAGCATGCCCTCAGAGTTTAATCCCACGACTTCCAGACATCATAACAACTTCATCTCACTGAAGTCTCATGGTGTATGGAGTGCCTCTTTAATTGTTACAGATATAAAAATAAATATGAATAAAAAGCCCACTTACATATTCATTAAAAATAGGTGTGTACGTCAGCTTGTTTTCTTCTGTATCTTCAAATTCATTATAATACTTGTCCATAAAACCTCTCTGTAGCAGCTGGAACTCATCGTCTAAACAGAAACATTAGGATTTCTTTAACAGTGATAGAAACTGATGTATCAAGAAAACTATTTAAGTCATAAAAACATCAAATACATGCAAGTAGGAAGGCTGTACTACATCCATTACCATGTGGGAGAAATATAGAACAAAGTACATTGCTATAAACCACAGTTCTAGAACCAACCTTAAGAAGAAACATTGAATTACTGTACTAAAAAGATAGAGATCTAAACGTTGGATAATAGTTTTGGGATGGGTCATTACGGAGTGCCAAAATCTGACAAGTGTAGTAACTATCACAACAGCGGGTAGTAAAGGAGTATTTCAGAACTTATCCAAGAGAAGACTGACATGAAAGCTGGAGTATCACATAGTATCCAACTTACAGGACAAATCATCTATTTAGATTTTTGTAAAGGTGTATCAATGGGTAATGCCACCTGGAAACAGCTTTAATCTCTGTTTCTTTATGACTGACAAGTTAAATCAGGCTCCATTACCAAAGCCACTCTTGGCTAAATCCTAAAGCAGGCTGAACCATAAGGTGACCCTAGGCAACCTCCTTGGGCCCACAGGATGGACCGAGTCCCGGAACCATGTATTTTCTAGGCCCCATTAACCATCCCTTTAGGAGGGGCACACTCGTAACCTGTATAGGGTTACACTATGATGAGATAGACATATATATCTTTTATACAGGTAACGAGCTGAGATTAGGAGCACTCTCTTAAAGGCAGTGCTCCTAATCTCAGCTCGTTACCTGTGTAAAAGATTATTGTACATCTAAATCATGGGTGCCCAAAAAAGTAGATCCCCAAATGTTGCAGAACTACAACTCCAATGATGCTTTGCAAAGCATCATGGAAGCTGTAGTTATTAAAGGGACACTATGGTCACCAGAACAACTACGGCTTAATGTATTTGTTCTGGTGAGTATAATAGCTCCCTTCAGGCATTTTCATGCAAACACTGCCTTTTCAGAGAAAAGGCAGTGTTTACATAGCCCCTAGGGTCACCTCCAAGTGGCCACTACTTAGATGGCCAATGGAGGGGCTTCCTGGCTCAGGGCTGCACAGTAAGTAGCCCTGCCATTCAGCGTCCCTACGCTCTGCACGGAGACGCTGAATTTTCCTCACAGAGATGCACTGATTTCCCCGTGCCAATTTTAGCCGAAAGCATTGGACTGGCTAAAAATCGTCCATTTTGATGATGTCACAAAGGGGCGGAGCCGCACGGCACTGGAAATAAGGTGAGTTTTAAACTTTTATAGGGGGGCTAAGAGGGGACTAGCCACCTAAATGGTGAGCTTGGCACTATAGGGTCAGGAATACAGGTTTGTGTTCCTGACCCTATAGTGATCCTTTAAACATCTGGGGATCTCCTTTTTGGGCACCCCTGGTGTAAATGTTTTCAGACTTTGATAGAACCTAAAAAATATTATATATATTGAAAGCAAGACTCCCCACAAGCACAGGAGAATGAAGGGATTTAGAGTTGCAGCACGTCTTACAATAGTGACTGTGCAAAAAGTGCCTAAATAATAGGTTTATAAGAAACTGGTAAGATTTTAAAATAAGAATATGTCCCTGAAACATGTCAGGTGTGTTGGAAAATATACTCTCACAAATTCCATTTTGTTTGCTTAGCTTTTGTGCCATTGTATCACGGTATCAAACAATAAAGGAAATATGTGTTTTCTTTCAGCAGTAAATTAATATTGCAGGACTAGGGAATACGTTGACACTAGAAATAAAGCAGAATAATAAGCAGTTTACAGCATGCCAGCTGCAAAAGAACAAAGAAGGATCTTGCCACAATACTGAAATTATTTAGCCAGGACGTGCTGTGTGCCAGACACCTGTCACCGCGGAAAGAATGTGTGTGAACGCAATGTGCAGTTACATTTGGGATAAGTATCAAAATTTACCAGCTGGAAGGAGCCAAAAAAACAAAAAGAAAGGGAAAAAACAAACGCTGTGTTTCTGGGCCGGCTATTGTTTACAGCATTACATCTAAGAGCGCACTGTATGATCAGTTGCAATAGAATCAACGAGACATAGAGGAGATTGCACGACCAATGAAGGCTAAAGCTGTAATTTGGATTTAAAGGGGTCTATTCATAGCACAGCGACGTTGCCAATTTACGGAAAGACTGATGGGTTCTAGTGGTTTGGAAAAAACAGGCAGAATATTTTTTTAGGGATTAGAATTGCGTGGCACTAGCAAAACTATGTGAAAGCATCCGCACACATGTGGAGGTTCTAGGTGGATGAGAAATGGTTAGCCCTCAACCATGGCTTCCTGCCAGCTCCCATGTATTCCTTTATACCAACTCAGCCATCTCCCATCCATATCGGTCTCCATCTTTTCCTCCTGTGGACTCCCTGCAACTCCGTCACCCCATCCAGCTCCCTCCGTACCAGCTATAAATAAGCAGTGCAGACTGGGTATTTCCTACAAAGTCCTTTTCTTGGTAAATATCATTGTGATATTGTATCCCCATGGTATCTGCATATCTATTCACTGCCCCTCTAAAAGGTCACCTGACCGGGTACATGTGCCACACAGAACTCAAGACAGTGTGGCATCCTAATATGCAGATGGGGCTCCAAGCTGTTTTATCAAGTGCTTCAAAAGGAAGCTAGAGATTATATCTCTACAGGGCTATTAGTAAAAAATCTATTTATTTATTTTTAAATTCAGCCTTTTGACTCCCGCAATTCTCTACGAAAGAGCTGAAGAGCCAAGGTTGTGCAATACTAGCTTAGCTCATTCCAGTAACTTCTTTTGCAGCCCACCACTGCTTAAAAAATATATCACAGCAGATTATCCCATGCCAATATTATTATGATCAAGGACTGAATAGTCCAAAATGCGTTAAGAGGTGTGGCTAGTTTTCTTTTGTGATATCCTTCTGTAAAGTGCCAATTAAAGTCCTCTTACTATTTTCATGCAGTTTACCACCAGGACATCCATTTTTCATAGCCTACCAGTAGCACCATAATAACTACTGCAGGCTTCAGTGGTTATGGTGCTTAGAGTGTTCCTTTAACTCCTCCAGTACCAAGCACTTAAAAGAACACCAACGTTACAAAGCTATATAATATATTATTAAAGTAACACTCCAGCATTATCACAATATTTGACAGTATTCACAGTTTAGATTACTGGGTTCTCTTTTTTCCCCTGAAATAAAAAGTTACCTTACCCTAATCCAATGATGAGAAGGCACCTGCTGCAGCTCCACTCTGCTAGCCAGGAGACCAGCACTACTGATCTTGGCAAACAGAATGCTTCTCAATGAGAAGCACTAACGCACTACTCCACACCCATAAAGCACTTCAGCTTGCTTAAGTGCTCTATAGGTAAGGATCATTCCATTTTAATGGCACCTCTTTTTAAAAATAGGCACTTTTATAAATAAATTAAGCAATCAGTGAGAAATATTGCCAGTTTTATTTTGGTGGATTGCTGAATAATATTTATTGATATGATTAGAGGTCTTCCTGAGCTCCTGATTTGTTTGGTTACCTGTCAGTTTGTATAGTTCTAGATAAAGACAGCACTCTCATTACAAATTCTGATTCCAGTCCAATCATTACATTCTATACAAACCCACATTCCAAACACATAATTGCGACTTCTGGAAGTAGCCACACTAAAGAAACATGTTAATTTAAATTAGATTTACCCATTATAATCTCTTCCAAATGTCCAACCACAGAGTCAAATTCTGCATCTTTAGGGGAAGATCTGAAATAAAAGAAATAGAATAATTATTCTAGGCTAGAATAATACCTATATTACTACACAGTACTATACAATACTGTATTATGTATTTAATTTGTGAAAACGTGACTTATAATACTCATAATTGTGAAGCAGATTTATATAACCATTTTGGACAGATATCAACCATGTACTTAAAAAGGTATACTCTTAGAATTATAAGCACTTCTGCTTGTTTAAGTGGTGATAATGCAATAACTGTCTATGCAGCGTTTAATCAGGAAACACTGCCAGATCCGAGACAGTTGCTTTTTTTACTGGGTTAAAGCCACTTCTGACTCCTTTCAATCAGCCAGATCCGAATGAGAGTTCTACATCTATTTTAACATAATTTAGCATACACTGTCTGCACCCCGCATGTACAACTTGGTCTGAGCTTTCTCTCACCTAGGACAGCTGAGCAATGGACCTTAGTACAACCTGGGCCACTAAACTTTAAAGATGTGGATTTCTGTGTATGAAAAGCTTGCTTGTCAGATTGCTTGTCAGATTCTGTACACTTTTTAAATCAATGGTCTGGATGTTTTTTTTTGAAAAACTAAATATTTAAAGATATAATAGTTAATAGGTTAGTTAACATCTTGTTGATCCAAAGAGAAATCGGACTGGATTTTTTCCCTTGAAGTTGTGGCAAACTTGGAAATCACTTCAAATCACTTCAAATTGGGGTTTTCAGCAATAATAATGGATTAACAGATACAGATATGTTAGGGCTGAACTTAACGAACGCAAGTCTTTTTTCAGCCTAGATAACTATGCAACCATGCTACAGGGTAAACTGATAGAAGTCATGATATGGTTGCTATCTGTATACACATCAAAACTGCTCATCCAATCTGATGAACGGAACTGGGAGTTACACTACTTATCCTTTAAACACCTGCTGTCTGGGTGTGTGTCAGGTTTGCTTGTAGACAAAACAACTAACAACAGCACCAAGGGGAACTCACAAGACAAGTAGGTACCTTTTTTGGTGGCCATTTTTACCACATAGTTTTCTTTTAAAGGTGGTCTGTGATGAAAAAACATGACAGTGCACCCATTTTAACCCAATAACTGTATCTATAAGTTCTCCTACCAACACACGAGAAGATACTACAGATACATTATAATTGTGCACACAACGTCTTGTCGTGGAGTGCTTTGCTACTGGGCAGATAACCGGCTATGTCACTGAAGCTTCATGTAATGTAATCAACATCTGGCCAGTGCAGGTGATAACCATTTTTCAAATGTTTTTATATAAGTAAAATAATTTGCAGCAGCTGTATTCACGGAGAGCGGCGAGAGGATGTGACATGACATCACATTCTCTACTGCTCTCGTTGAATCACAATGTGGAAGCCTGCTGAAAAAGCTGGACACAACAGCCACCCTCACTGCCAGAAAAGAAGGTAATCGGAGGGTGGTTGGCAGGGAAGAGTAGTGAGTGTGCATGTGTGGGTATGCATATGTATAATATATAATACTGCAAACGTAGATCCGTGTGTGGCACTGAGTATCCTGTGTTTGTCTTTCTGGTATCTCTATGTTTGCACATGAGTGTGTATATGTGTGCATGTATCAATAGGTATATGGTTTTGCACGTATTATTGTGTGTCCTAAGAGGCAATGTGGCTACAATGAGGGTGATACAGTATAGGCAATATTGTAATATTATAACACTGTGTTTCAGCTTAGCAATTTTTGTTTGCGTTTCCATGAAAAAATGCACTGTCTAAGCATACTAAAACAAAAATATAAAATTTGAACATTACTTTCCAGGACACCCTAAATATTCGGACTATAGCGTGTTTTTTGTTTTTTTTGGCAAAGTGCTTGGAAAAGAAGAGGTTAATCATGACATAATCAAAGCAGAAATCTATTGAAAAATATGCCAGAATAAAGTTTTGAATTTTACACTGTCTCATTGGTGCTGTTTCCCTTTACTGTTATTGGATTTGTGTGAGGATGGCGAACACCTTGGAACGGAGTACCAGAGGTGGGTGTCCTGATTTATGCTGTCCTATTACTAATACTTAGTCCCTTTACAAGCATTTTAAATAGTTTGTAAAATGTATAAACATTCATCTCTGGGCTCCAAATTTCTAATCATTATGAGCAAATGGAAATTGGACCCTAAAACAGTAGACTTGGATTTCTACAGCCATGAGAGGGCATTTTCCTCCAGATGCAGATACAGTGTGTGGTAGGATGACTAGACACCCCTCTCTCTGGTTCCTTTGTGGTACTGTGTAATGGGTATAATACAAGAGGCAGCACTGTCACATACATCTATGTCCTGTACCATAACTTCACCAAGAAGCAAGGGAAGACTGCTCCTCAGGGACCCAGGTATCCCTTCCAATAGAATGTGGTAACTAAATGAGGTGGATTTTAGATTTAAACTGAATGCTAGGACTTGGAATATTTGGAGCACTGTTCAATTTAAAGACTTACATTGATAGACTGAAATCTTCCTCTCCCAAGTTTTCCATCTCCTTCAGATTCCTAAAATATATAAAAACACAAAAGTTAGATTTATTTTTCTTTTTAATGTTGTAGATACTTAAAGAGCACACTCTAGGTAAGCAACCGAACCATTTACAAACAGTTTGGCATCCACCTGGCTGTCGGGTGCCCTCAGTCCTTCAATACTACACGGCTATGCTAAATCAGTTGCTCATACTTATGCATTAGCACACTGCTTTAGTGGCGTGCTGATTGGTTGTGCATATCAGAAGGTCCATGGGTGCCCAACACTAGCAGGTAAATGTCAAACTTTTTGACAGTTACCCCTGGGAAGGTGCCATGGGACACTTGTTATCGCCCACTGGGGAATACTGAAGGTGTTATGGTGTAGAGTGTCCTTTTAATGCTTTACTGAAAGATATGGTTTATTAGCTAAACATCAAATTGTATTGCATGGAATTCAAAATTAGAAAACTGAGGCACAAATAACCAAGGTGGGATTATGGTAGGGTTGGAGAATGTTTATAAATCAACCATTTCTTGCCTAAACTTTGTAAAATGATTTCCTATAATTTGGTGTTTAGAGATTAAACTCCTGGAATTTTTTTTATTTTTTTTTATTTTAAATCTCTGACCGTTCACAATTTCAGTTGTTCATTTACCAACATCAGTATTTCAGCTCAATAAATCCTACTAACAGCATTCGGGTGAAGTCAGATTTGGAAAAAATTTTAAGTTATCTATAATCCCTCCTTGGCTTTTTTAACCTAAATTTTGTCATTTGGGTTTCAATTCTAATATATGACTTCTCACAGATAAAATGGAAGTACGCTGCATACATATTACTATATACAGCAAATGTATTCAACACTTATTGTATACAGCGCGTACTCTCCATACATGTTATTATATACCGTGAGTACACTCCGTACTTTTTATTGTATACAGTGTGTGCACGTCATATTGCATACAGTATATAAATTCTACATATTTTGTAGCATTCAGTAAATAAATTGTATATAAATTGTATAGAGTGAGTACACTACAAACATGGCATTGTATAAAGTTACAAATTGTACATGTCATAGTATAAAGTAAATGCGCTCAATGTTCTTATTGTATTGCAGTAAATACATTATACATGTTATTGTACACAGTGAGTACATTGTATATGGTATAATATATATACACACACGTTATTGTACACAGTGAGTACATTGTTTATGGTATAATATATATACACACATGTTATTATACACAGTGAGTATAATATAATAGAATGTTTACATGTTATACACAGTGAGTATAATAGAATGTTTACATGTTATTATACACAGTGAGTATAATATAATAGAATGTTTACATGTTATTATACACAGTGAGTATAATATAATAGAATGTTTGCATGTTATTATACACTGTGAGTACAATATAATAGAATGTTTGCATGTTATTATACACAGTGAGTACAATATAATAGAATGTTTACATGTTATTATACACAGTGAGTATAATATAATAGAATGTTTACATGTTATTATACACAGTGAGTATAATATAATAGAATGTTTACATGTTATTATACACTGTGAGTATAATATAATAGAATGTTTACATGTTATTATACACTGTGAGTATAATAGAATGTTTACATGTTATTATACACTGAGTATAATAGAATGTTTACATGTTATTATACACAGTGAGTATAATATAATAGAATGTTTACATGTTATTATACACTGTGAGTATAATATAATAGAATGTTTGCATGTTATTATACACTGTGAGTATAATAGAATGTTTGCATGTTATTATACACAGTGAGTATAATATAATAGAATGTTTACATGTTATTATACACTGTGAGTATAATATAATAGAATGTTTGCATGTTATTATACACAGTGAGTATAATATAATAGAACGTTTGCATGTTATTATACACAGTGAGTATAATATAATAGAATGTTTACATGTTATACACAGTGAGTATAATAGAATGTTTACATGTTATTATACACAGTGAGTATAATATAATAGAATGTTTACATGTTATTATACACAGTGAGTATAATATAATAGAATGTTTACATGTTATTATACACTGTGAGTATAATAGAATGTTTGCATGTTATTATACACAGTGAGTATAATATAATAGAATGTTTACATGTTATTATACACTGTGAGTATAATAGAATGTTTGCATGTTATTATACACAGTGAGTATAATATAATAGAATGTTTACATGTTATTATACACAGTGAGTATAATATAATAGAATGTTTGCATGTTATTATACACAGTGAGTATAATATAATAGAATGTTTACATGTTATTATACACTGTGAGTATAATATAATAGAATGTTTACATGTTATTATACACTGTGAGTATAATAGAATGTTTACATGTTATTATACACTGAGTATAATAGAATGTTTACATGTTATTATACACAGTGAGTATAATATAATAGAATGTTTACATGTTATTATACACTGTGAGTATAATATAATAGAATGTTTGCATGTTATTATACACAGTGAGTATAATATAATAGAATGTTTACATGTTATTATACACAGTGAGTATAATATAATAGAATGTTTGCATGTTATTATACACTGTGAGTACAATATAATAGAATGTTTGCATGTTATTATACACAGTGAGTATAATATAATAGAATGTTTACATGTTATTATACACAGTGAGTATAATATAATAGAATGTTTACATGTTATTATACACTGTGAGTATAATATAATAGAATGTTTGCATGTTATTATACACAGTGAGTATAATATAATAGAATGTTTGCATGTTATTACACACAGTGAGTATAATAGAATGTTTACATGTTATTATACACAGTGAGTATAATATAATAGAATGTTTACATGTTATTATACACAGTGAGTATAATATAATAGAATGTTTACATGTTATTATACACTGTTACCTGCACGGCTCCAGCTGAGCGTCACGTCTGTAGTTTAGATTTGATTCCGGGATCCGGAGCAGCTGCGGACCAATAGGAGCGCCGGATAGTTTGGTGTCTCCTACATTGGCCAATCACATGCTCGAGGCTGCCGTTGGCAGTTGCCATGGATACGAAGACAACTTTCCTGAAAGCCCATAGAACCCGGAAAGAGAATGAGAAGGGGGCGGGGCTATAGTCCATTTAATGAGTCCTGTCTGCTAGACACTGACTGTAGAGAGGGAACAGGATAGGGGCAGGCTGGGGGCTGGCTAGGGGCTGGCTGGGGGCTGGCTGGGGGTGATTAAAGATGGATACTGTGTATAGTTAGAGAGTAATGAGCTATAATTAGCCTTCTGGGAGAGGGACAGTGATTTTTATTTTGTGCCAATCCCCCTTCTTTATTCTTGCCCAGTTTTATTGTGTTTTTAGATTAATTTATATAAATATTGTATAAATAATGTTTAGATATGACAAGGTCTTAAAAGGGAAACTCTAACCATGTTTTAATATTATTATTTACAATCCATGATTGAAGGGCTTATCAGATATACAGGCGATACTTGGAAAAATTTGAATATCGCGCAAAAGTTCATTTATTTCAGTAATGCAACGTAAAAGGGGAAACTAATATATGAGATAGACGCATTACATGCAAAGCAAGATAGTTCAATCCGTGATTTGTCATAAATACAGGGGGGGAAAGGCAATATAACACACGTGCTCCCTAGTGGGTAAATATATGTATAATAAAAATTACCCTCTGCTAGATTGTAAGAAGATCCCTCCAATCTGTTCTTGAAAAAGTACAGGCAAAATCAATCTATAAGCATAAAAACACAAAAGACCAAAAATATGGTGTAGTATATTGGAACACCAGAAAATGCGCTTTGTGACAAATTAGCACTCACAAGATAGGTGAAAAGTAGACACATAGGAATCTTTGGAGTTAGAAGAGTTCCAGATTTCTTCATGTAACACCTTAAATGAGAAGGAGGGACAAACACATATTGCACCAATAATATTCAAAAAGCAAAATTTATTATGATTGCACTCACAGAATAATGATAAAAATCCAGCATGTCAAAGGACTTAAGTGGTCCTTGTCAGTGACGCTTTCCTTGTTGTAAACACAGCCAGATGATTAACCCTTTAAAGGACCACTATAGGCACCCAGACCACTTCAGCTTAATGAAGTGGTCTGGGTGCCAGGTCCAGCTAGGGTTAACCTTTTTTTTAAATAAACATAGCTGTTTCAGAGAAACATAGCTGTTTCAGAGACTGGCTGAATGCGCGCGCGGCTCCTGCCGCGCATGCGCATTCAGCCGAAGAGGAGGAGGAGAGCTCCCCGCCCGGCGCTGGAGAAAGAGGTAAGTTTAACCCCTTCCTCTCCCTAGAGCCCGGCGGGAGGGAATCCCTGAGGGTGGGGGCACCCTCAGGGCACTATAGTGCCAGGAAAACAAGTATGTTTTCCTTGCACTATAGTGGTCCTTTAAGACCGCAGCCAAATGTACAAGTTGTGATCAAAACGTAAACAAAACCTGGCATTTGCGCTATAAGTCTGTCCAACCGTAATTCACCTTTTTCATATTAAATGCACCCACACTTATTATATATCATTTTATTCAGGGGAAACAGGGCTTTCGTTTAACATCAAATATTTAGGTATGGAACATAATTTAATATGAAAAAAAATATAAAAAAATGGTTAGAACGAAATTACGCATGTATATATATTTTTTATCTATTTATTTTTAATTTTCTTTATTTTATTTTTTAACGTATTTATATATTTTTTATTATATATAAATATATATAATGAAAATTATATATATATATATGTAATCAATATCATTGTACGTGTATTTTGATATTAATATATATATATATAATTATGTATATATTAATAAACTACACGCAGACAGTGTATGTGTATTTATGTGTATGTGTGTATATGTGTATATGTGTATATATATACTTAGATCATATATATAATAAGTATATATATGATCTAAGTATATATTATTTAATTTTACACTGTTTTAACATCTTTTAATTTTATTTCCAGGCATTAGGGGGAGTACCTGTCATTACAGGCACTCCCCCTGCTGGCAATGCCGTCCATGTGATCGTGGGGTCCTCGCAAGGACTTCGCGATCACATGGCCCATGGGGGCCGAAGAGGACGGAGGGGGACTCCCTGGGCTCCCAGGTAAATCCCCATACCACGATCGCCGGCGTGGGATCGCCGGCGTGGATCGCCGGCGACCGCGTAAGTACAAAAGATCGCAGGGCGTTCTATGTCGCCCTGCGGCGTTTAGAGCCATCTAAATAAGGACGCCATAGAACGCCCTGCGGTCTTAAGGGGTTAACAAAATAGTAAACCAAATAGTAAAAAAAAAATTTGGTTTACTATTTTGTTAATCATCTGGCTGTGTTTACAACAAGGAAAGCGGCACTGGCAAGGACCACTTGAGTGCTTTGACATGCTGGATTTTTACCATTATTCTGTGAGTGCAATCATAATACATTTTGCTTTTTGAATATTATTGGTGCACTATGTGTTTGTCCCTCCTTCTCAATAAAGGTGTTACATTAAGAAATCTGGAACTCTTCTAACTCCAAAGATTCCTATGTGTCTACTTTTCACCACTATCTTGTCAGTGCTACTTTGTCACAAAGCACATTTTCTGGTATTTTGTGTTTTTATGCTTATAGATTGTTTTTGCCTGTGATTTGTCATAAGTGCGATGATTATGGCTTACAGCTCATGAAAACCCCAAATCCACAATCTCAGTAAATTAGAATATTACATGCAGTCAATAAATCAAGTAGTGTACATAGAACAATATCGGACCTCTGAAAAGTATAAGCATGCATATGGACTCAGTACTTGATTTGGGCCCCTTTTGCAGCAATTACTGCCTGAATGCAGGGTGGCATGGAAGCTATCAGCCTGTGGCACTGCTGAGATGTTATGGAAGACCAGGATGCTTCAATAGCTGCCTTCAGCTCTTCTGCATTGTTCAGTCTCATATCTCTCATCTTTCTCTTGGCAATGCCCCATAGATTCAGGTCAGACGAGTTTGCTGGCCAATCAAGCACAGTAATCCCACGGTCATAGAACCAGGCTTTGGTGCTTTTGGCAGTGTGGGCAGGTGCCAAGTCCTGCTGGAAAATGTAGTCAGCATCCCCATAAAGCTCTTCTGTGGAAGGAAGCATGAAGTGCTCCAAAATCTCCTTGTAGACGGCTGCGTTGACCCTGGACTTAATGAAGCACAGTGGACCAACACCAGCAGATGACATGGCTCCCCAAATCAACACAAACTGTGGAAACTTCACATTGGACTTCACGCATCTTGTAGTGTGTGCCTCTCCATTCTTCCTCCAGACTCTGGGTCCTTGGTTTCCAAATGAGATGCAAAAGTTGCTCTCATCAGAAAAGAGGACTTTGGACCACTGAGCAACAGACCAGGTCTGTTTTTCTTTAGCCCAGGTAAGACACTTCTGACGTTGTTTGTTGTTCAGGAGCGGCTTGACAAGAGAAATACGACATCTGAAGCCCATGTCCAGGATCCGTCTGTGTGTGGTGGCAACCTTTACAACCTTTATAGTGGTGATGGATTGCACCTAAACGGGAGAGGGTCTGCAGTGCTGGGGGATAGGATGGCTAGAAGGTTGGAGGAGATTTTAAACTAGTAGTAGTGGGGGAGGGTCATAGCAATCTACAAAATGGAGATAGGACAGAAAGGAGATGGGCTTTAGCACAGTATAAGGGGGTGGAAACGGGGGGAGGGGCAAGCTCAGAACAGAGAAGCTGTGTAATGTTGAAAATTCACAAAATATACAAGTGATGCATAATATTAAATGTATGCTTACTAATGCAAGGAGCCTAAATAACAAAATGGGGAACTAGAGGCATTAGCATACACTAAACAATATGATATAATAGGCATAACTGAAACATGGTGGGATGAGACACATGACTGGGCAGCTAACTTAAATGGGTACACGTTATTTAGGAAGGATAGGAAAAACAAGAAGGGTGGTGGGGTATGTTTGTATGTCAAACATGATTTAAAGCCAAATGTTAAGCAAATGGAATGCGAGGAGGATAATGTGGAAGCTTTATGGGTAAATATCTGCTTGGGGGAAAGAAGGGAAACCAACTATTGGTTGGGATATGTTATAAACCACCTAATGTTAATATTGACGAGGAACAACAGCTGTTTGAGCAAATTGAGAAAGCTGCAAATCTGGGTAACACTTTAATTATTGGAGATTTTAATTACCCGGATATAAATTGGGACAGAGGGACTAGTGCCTCAGCAAAGGGAATTAGGTTTTTAAACTTGTTAAATGACACCTTCATGTCACAACTTGTGCAAGCACCAACTAGAATGGATGCTTGTCTGGACCTGGTTTTAACAAACAACGTTGATCTTTTGACCAACATTCAAGTAGGTGAGCACTTGGGAAATAGTGATCACAATATAGTGTCCTTTGAAATAAACTCAAAAAAACAAAAGCACATGGGGAATACTAAAACATATAATTTTAAAAAGGCTGGGGGCGGGGCTTGACCGCCGAGCTGGATGGACGTGGGGCACCTCGGCTCCCCGAGGAATCCCCAAAAATCTGCCCAAAACAACCCCATCTCACCTGAAAAACCTTCAGCAGGAATAAGAAGGCAAGGGGACCTGAGCAATAACCCCCGGTGCGTCTGTCGGCTCTCGTCCTGCGGCGACGCCGACTGATGGACGGGCGGGATTGCGGCCTGCCGTGAGGCCCTGGTGGGGGAAGCGGCCGATCCCCCGCGCTTGGTCCGGCGGGACCTCTCGCTCGCCTGCAGAGGGCCCCGTTCTCCCCCCCTGTGGGCCGGGGGGGTTATCCCGGACCACACCGGGGAAGTAGAGATCACCATCACCTATGATAACTGTACAGGGGAAAAATCTAACCTGAGACCGCATGGCACAAGCCAAGATGGCTGCCGCGCCTTCTACAAGCCACAACATCGGAGCAATGGCTGGGCGCTGTCTGGAAACCGACGCTGATAAGTACACAGCGTAATGAAGGCGGCCAGCTGGCAACGGATAACCCTAAAAGGTCTGTGGGGACTATATTCGGACTCTGACCCTGCCTAAACATAGTGGAGCGAAGGACATGGGGCACAAGCGCTACTCCCAACCCAAGGCTGGTAACAGCGGACACACTCCTGACCGGCAGGTACCCAAGCATTTCACAGCGTGAAAGCCAGCCGACCAAGCACAGCTGCAGGAATGACCAAGCGACTGCCAACCACATACACCTACAGTCGATTTTACATATGCAGCCCCCCACAGAAAGCTCTTAAAATGACTAAGTTTACATATGTACCCAACTCAACAAGCCCGGCTCTCCGCTGTTCCCTGGTGGTTAAATCTAATGAGTATATAGAAAGCTGTAACTGATGTTATTTTGCATAGCCTGTAATCCAACATACTTAAACCATACTAATTTCTAGCTCCATGTTAATAGTGAGCATGTTCTCTAATCCCTTTCCGTTTGTTTAGCTTGTGTTTAACGGTTTACAGCGAAATCCTACTCAGCTAAGCTAGAAACAGATAATACTTAAATTCCAATTGTTATGTTTAAACGTCGTGTCATCCAATAACAAAAATGTGCACGAAACCACTTAGACATGCCATTATTGCAGGTACTCACAGCGTGTATTAAGTAAACAGTAAACAGAATATGGTACCTGAATGTAATCTTATATAGGAGCCTTTATTATCAGGAAATGCGCATTGTCTAGCAAATACTATACCTGTTATCCACCTATGTTTTAAGCTTGTTAATATAATATAAAATGAGGTTGATAATCCTAGGAGATTTCTGTAATCTGTTATAGTGACCCTAATCTGTACAACTCTTGCAAGTCTCCCTCTCTTTTTTTTCTGTACCACCATAAGCACATGCCTCAATAAAATAAAGAATTCAAAAAAATTTTTTTAAAAAGGCTAATTTCAATAAGTTAAGGGAAGCTTTACAATATATTGACTGGCATAAACTCTTTAGTGAAAAGAACACTGAGGATAAATGGATCATCTTCCAACAAATATTACAAAGGTACATTTCTCAGTATGTACCGTTGGGAAATAAATATAAAAGAAACAAATTAAAACCAATGTGGCTTAGTAGAGAAGTAAAACAAGAGATTACAACTAAGAGAAGGGCATTTAAAGCATTTAAATCGGACAAATCAGATGCATCTTATAAAAGATATAAGGATGCAAATAATGCGTGCAAAAAGGCAATTAGACTTGCTAAACTTCAAAATGAAATAATGATAGCTGAAGAGAGCAAAACCAACCCCAAAGCATTTTTTAAGTACATAAATTCTAAAAAAAAACAAAATGAAAGTGTAGGTACACTAAAAACTGAAACGGGGGTGTTAATTAATGAAGACCAGGAAAAGGCAGGAATTTTAAATAACTATTTCTCCTCCGTATATATTAAGGAAGAACCCATGGCAATAGATGTGCAAATGATTGCTACTAAAAACTTGCAGAATAATTGTAATTGGTTAACTCAAGACAAGGTGCTGCAGCAACTAAAGAAAGTTAATATAAACAAAGCTCCAGGGCCTGACGGTATCCATCCACGTGTACTTAAGGAACTAAGTGCAGAAATAAGTGAACCTCTGTTTTTAATCTTTCAAGATTCTTTTCTTTCAGGAAGTGTTCCGGAGGATTGGAGGAAGGCAGATGTGGTTCCTATATTCAAAAAGGGTTCAAAATCCTTGCCTGGAAATTATAGACCTGTGAGCTTAACTTCTGTGGCTGGTAAAATATTTGAAAGTTATTAAGGGATAATATTCAAGAATTCCTTGAGAAGAACATGGTTATCAGCAAAAATCAGCATGGTTTTATGAAGCACAGGTCATGTCAAACTAACTTGATTGCGTTCTACGAAGAAGTAAGTAGAAGTATAGATCAGGGTGTTGCCGTGGATGTGATCTATTTGGATTTTGCCAAGGCATTTGATACAGTTCCACACAATAGATTAGTGTTCAAACTCAAGGAAATCGGTCTAGATGAAAATGCTTGTTCTTGGGTAGAACATTGGCTTAAAACAGAGTACAAAGAGTTGTCATTAATGGTAAATTTTCAAGCTGGACAGAGGTGGCAAGTGGTGTCCCTCAGGGGTCTGTTCTGGGACCCCTTCTATTTAACATGTTTATAAATGATCTTGAAGACCGCATTGAAAGTCATGTTTCAGTGTTTGCAGATGACACAAACTTTGTAAAATAATACAATGTGAGCAAGATATTACTTTGCTGCAGAGGGACTTAGATAGACTGGGGGACTGGGCACTCAAATGGCAGATGAAATTTAATGTTGAAAAATGCAAAGTTATGCACTTCGGCATAAAGAATACACAAGCAACGTATACCCTTAATGGAAGCGAATTAGGGATAACAACACATGAAAAGGACTTGGGAATTGTTATAGACAACAAGCTATGCAACAATGTGCAATGTCAATCAGCAGTGGCCAAGGCCAGTAAGGTATTGTCATGCATGAAAAAGGGCATTCATTCTCGGGACAAGAATATAATTTTGCCTCTTTATAAATCACTGGTAAGACCCCATATTGAATATGCTGTGCAATTTTGGGCACCTGTTCTAAAGAAGGATATTATGGCACTAGAAAAAGTGCAGAGGCGGGCTACAAAATTAATAAAAGGAATGGAACATATCGGCTATGAAGAAAGGTTAACAAATTTAAACCTATTTAGTTTAGAAAAACGTCGCCTGAGAGGGGATATGATAACATTATACAAATATATTCGTGGCCAATACAAACCATTGTGTGGAAATCTATTCACAAACCGGACTTTACATAGGACACGAGGTCATGAGTTTAGACTGGAAGAAAGAAGATTTCGTCTAAGGCAAAGGAAAGGTTTTTTTACTGTAAGAACAATCAGGATGTGGAATTCTCTGCCTGAGGAAGTGGTTTTATCAGAGTCCATACAGATGTTCAAACGGCTACTAGATGCATACTTGCAAGAACAGAATATTCAAGGATATAATCTTCAATGTAGGGTAATAACTGCTTGATCCAAGGATAAATCTGACTGCCATTCTGGGGTCAAGAAGGAATTTTTTTCCTAGCTTGTTGCAAAATTGTGCTTCAAACTGGGTTTTTTTGCCTTCTTTTGGATCAACAGCAAAAAACAAATGTAAGGTAGGCTGAACTTGATGGACGCAAGTCTCTTTTCAGCTATGTAACTATGTAACTATGTAACTATGTAACTATGTGGCACTTGATGCACTGACTCCAGCCTCAGTCCACTCCTTGTGAAAGTCCCCAACACTTTTGAGTGGCCTTTTCCTGACAATCCTCTCTAGGCTGCGGTCATCCCTGCTGCTTGCGCATCTTTTTCTTCCACACTTTTCCCTTCCACATAACTTTCTATTAATATGCTTTGATACAGCACTTTGGGAACATCCAACTTCCTTCACAATTACCTTTTGAGACCTTCCCTCCTTATGGAGGGTGTCAATGATGGTTTTCTGCACAACTGTCAGGTCAGCAGTCTTCCCCATGATTGTGATTCCTACTGAACCAGACTGAGAGACCATTTAAAGGCTCAGAAACTGTTGCGGCTCCCGACCCGCTGCGTACCGCAGCCGTGTCCGACCGGCACGGCCTCGCCGACACCACAAGCTTACCTGCTCGTCGGCGAGCCGGGAGCCGCTCCTCTGCCTTCTCTGGGCATCGCGCCCAAATCAAAGATGGCGCAGACCACGTGGTTGCGTCCATCTTAAGCTCCGCCCCTCAAATAAATACAAAAGTGCGCGTGACGTCACAACGTCAACGCACACGCACGTTAGAAACATAGAATGTGACGGCAGATAAGAACCATTCGGCCCATCTAGTCTGCCCAATTTTCTAAATACTTTCATTAGTCCCTAGCCTTATCTTATAGTTAGGATAGCCTTATGCCTATCCCACGCATGCTTAAACTCCTTTACTGTGTTAACCTCTGCCACTTCAGCTGGATGGCTATTCCATGCATCCACTACCCTCTCAGTAAAGTAATACTTCCTGATATTATTTTTAAACCTTTGTCCCTCTAATTTAAGACTATGTCCTCTTGTTGTGGTAGTTTTTCTTCTTTTAAATATAGTCTCCTCCTTACTGTGTTGATTCCCTTTATATATTTAAATGTTTCTATCATATCCCCCTGTCTCGTCTTTCCTCCAAGCTATACATGTTAAGATCCTTTAACCTTTCCTGGTAAGTTTTATCCCGCAATCCATGAACCAGTTTAGTAGCTCTTCTCTGAATCCTTTCTAAGGTATCAATATCCTTCTGGAGATACGGTCTCCAGTACTGTGTACAATACTCCAAATGAGGTCTCACCAGTGTTCTGTACAATGGCATGAACACTTCCCTCTTTCTACTGCTAATACTTCTCCCTATACAACCAAGCATTCTGCTAGCATTTCCTGCTGCTATATTACATTGTCTGCCTACCTTTAAGTCACCAGAAATAATCACCCCTAAATACCTTTCCTCATATGTTGAGGTTAGGACTCAAATATTTTGTACTCTGCCCTTGGGTTTTTACGTCCAAGATGCATTATCTTGCACTTATCCACATTAAATGTCAGTTGCCACAATTCTGACCATTTTTCTAGTTTACCTAAATCATTTGCCATTTGGCTTATCCCTCCTGGAACATCAACCTTGTTACATATCTTAGTATCATCAGCAAAAAGACATACCTTACCATCAAGACCTTCTGCAATATCACTAATAAAAATATTAAAGAGAATGGGTCAAAGTACAGATCCCTGAGGTACCCCACTGGTGACAAGTCCAAGCTTCGAATATATTCCATTAACTACAACCCTCTGTTGCCTGTCACTCAGCCACTGCCTTACCCATTCAACAATATTGGAATCCAAACTTAAAGATTGCAGCTTATTGATAAGCCTTCTATGTGCAACAGTGTCAAAACCTTACTGAAATCTAGGTAAGCAATGTCTACTGCACCACCCTGATCTATAATTTTAGTTACCCAATCAAAAAAATCAATAAGATTAGTTTGGCATGATCTCCCTGAAGTAAACCCATGTTGTCTCTGATCTTGAAATCCATGTGGTTTTAGATGTTCATCAATCCTATCCTTTAACATGGTTTCCATCACTTTCCCCACTACTGAAGTAAGGCTTACTGGCCTATAGTTGCCCGACTCCTCCCTATTACCTTTCTTGTAAATGGGCACAACATTCGCTAACTTCCAATCTTCTGGGACTACTCCTGTTAACAATGATTGGTTAAATAAATCTGTTAATGGTTTTGCTAGTACACCACTAAGCTCTTTTAATAGCTTTGGGTGTATTCCATCAGGTCCCATTGACTTATTTGTCTTTACTTTTGACAGTTGAAATAGAACCTCTTCCTCTGTAAACTCACGTGTAATAAATGACTCATTTATCCTTTTTTTCAACTCAGGTCCCTTTCCTTCATTTTCATCTGTAAATACAGAACAAAAATATTCACTGAGGCAGTCAGCTAGACCTTTATCCTCTTCTACATACCTTCCTTCTTTTGTTTTTAATCTAACTAATCCTTGTTTTACTTTTCTTTTCTCATTTATGTATCTAAAAAATGTTTTATCCCCCTTTTTTACTGACTGCTATTTTCTCTTCTGTGTGTGATTTGGAAGCTATTATAACTTGCTTAGCCTCTTTCTGCCTAATCTTATAGATCATTTTGTCTTCCTCACTCTGGTTTTTTTTTTATAATTCCTAAATGCTAACTTTTTGTTTTTAACTATTTTGGCCACATCTGTGGAGTACCACAGTGGTTTCTTGAATATTTTGCTTTTACTGACAAGCTTAATGCAATTTTCTGTTGCCTTCAATAGTGCAACTTTTAAATAATCCCATTTCTCTTGGACTCCATTTAAATTGCTCCAGTCTGATAATGACTCCTCTACCCATATTCTAATTTTAGAAAAGTTTTTTTTCTATAGTCTAAAACTTTTGTTTTTGTGTGGTGTGACTCAGTCACTGTTCTTATATTAAACCACACTGACTGATGATCACTGGATCCTAAACTTTCACCTACAGTAATATCTGATACCAAATCTACATTTGTTAACACTAAATCTAGTATAAATCTAGTTGGCTCCTCAACAACTTGTTTTAGAGACAATCCCAGTAGGGAGTTTAGAATATGTGTGCTTCTGGCACAAGTAGCTAATGTTGTTTTCCAATTTACATCAGGAAGATTAAAGTCACCCATGATGATAACATCCCCCTTCATTGTCATTTTAGCTATTTCCTCAACTAGTAGATTATCTAACTCTTCAATTTGTCCTGGGGGCCTATAAATCACACCTACACGAGTTACTGTGTGATTACCAAATTCTGACATAACCCAAACGGACTCTCACTAACTTTTATTAGGCTAGATTTTATGCTATCCTTCACATACAAGGCCACCCCTCCCCCTTTCTTGCCTTCCCTATCTTTCCTATATAAAGAGTACCCTGGTTTTGCTATGTACCAGTCATTTTTCTCATTATACCATGTCTCAGTAACAGCGACTAAATCTACACTATCAGTTGCCATTATTGCCACAAGTTCATGGATCTTATTCTGCGAGCATTTGTAGACATGACTCTAAGCTTATCATTTTTTAACACACTTGCTACAGGCACCTTCTGGGGTCAGAGGTCACCCTCTGACCAATCAGAACCCAAAGAGGGATATTTAAATCCCTAATTCACTCTAGTTCCTTGCCCTGTCGTGGTTTCCTGTTCCTGGTTCCCGAGAGTGCATTTATCTTTGTGAATCTGACTTTCAGGTATTCTGATCCTGGCTTTTCCCTGGTTATTCCGAATTCTGGTTCCCCTGACTTGGCTTGTTTAAACGGTATTTGAGTATTTCTGGCTTCCTTGACCTGGGCTTTCCCTTTGACCATTCTCTATCTTTAGCATATTAGTCCGGCCATTCTAAGGTCCGGTTTACGCTCTGTCCTTTTATTTTCCTTTTCTTTTGTATGTATATGTTTACATAGTTTCTGCGTGTTGGACCACACTAGCAGCCGTGACAGAAAATCTTTGCAGGTGTTATGGCTTAATTAGCTGATTAGAGTGGGACACTGTGAGCCTAGAATATTGCACCTTTTCACAATATTCTAATTTACTGAGATTGTGGATTTGGGGTTTTCATGAGCTGTAAGCCATAATCATCGCACTTATGACAAATCATCGCTTGAACTATCTTGCTTTGCATGTAATGCGTCTATCTCATATATTAGTTTACCCTTTTACGTTGCATTATTGAAATAAATGAACTTTTGCGCGATATTCTAATTTTTCGAGTATCACCTGTATATCATTAGTAGTCTTACTGGTGAGGTGATCTGACTAGGATTTAAACCTTGGTTTCTTAGTTCTGTTATGTTATCACTGCTTAAACCATGTCTATAATACTTTAATGTAAGTAAATACCTAATTATAGTGCCTGTCCTGGCTTATCCTTGTTCTGAGGGGGTGGCCATCGTTAAGTCCTTTATCAGAAGAACCGCTTTTTTTTTTAATAGTAGACCATTTTTTATTGTTTTTTTAGATGCGGGCTTACTTGAGGTCCTGGAGGCTCCAACGCTCAGCAAACTCCAGGTGAGTCGTCAAACTATTTGCAAATGGTTTGACTACTTACCCTCAGAAAGGCACCAGGGCATTCCTTGCTCCACAACAGCTACAGCACACTGTAGTGGTTATGGTGCTTGGAGCAGTACTTTTAAAAACGGCCTCCAAAGAGCAAAAGTAAGCCTAGTTTGTTTTACAAAAGTATGCATTACAAAATTATACAGCGACTATAATAAAGTAAAAATAACACTGTTCCATTAAAGGGTTTAATTGCCAATATTTAACAACCATAACATACAGTTAGGCCTACCAATTTTTGAAAAGCTAATTTTGTTGAAGCCTAAATAAAGAAAAAGGAAAAACCTGAGTGCAGTGTTAATTAATGCAGTTTTTGAAAAAATGAAATTACATTGCATGGTTAACTCCACCAGACAGCCGACACAGGGACTTTCAGGTGGTTAGGCAACTTTTGGTCACCTAGCTGACACTGGACTTGCTCACGCTTTGTATGAGGACATCCAGCGTCCCCCAAAACCCTATAGGAAAGCATTATATAGTACTTTCCTATGTGGGAAGTACTAATGCGATTGCGGCGCTCACCACGCATGCGCATTAAGTCCCCCCACTGGCTAATGTCAGCGGAGGTACAAAGGCAGACCCTGAACCAGCGCCGAAGGATAACGGCGCTGGAATCAGTTAAGTGATAAAGGTTTTTTTAACCCCTTCAGCACGCGGGAGGGTGTGGGTACTATAGGGAGGGGCCTAGACAAAATGGCCACCATTCGCTGGAGCACGTGTGTTCAATTATACAAATGGCGGCCACCCAAGGAAAGCACTTGAGTTAACGACTTAATTGCGGTTAACAGCCAGAGATGGTCGGAGTTCATAGAGATATAAAAGGGGGAACCACACACACCATCCATTCGGGCACGAACGAGGGGGTACAGACAACTGAACTAAAGGCGAATGAGTCTGCTACAAAGCTCCCCCGTAGCCATAAGCTGGCATACACAGTCTGATCCCGATGTATCGGCTTGGGGATGTCCGGGGTGCTCACGGATGATTTTTCGAGTTCCGTCTGTCTGGACAACCCGTCTGCATTTCCATTTTGTTTTCCAGGGCGGTAGTGTATGGTGAAATCGAAGAGCTGCAGCGCCAAACTACAGCGCAGCAGCCTGGCATTGTCCCCTGAACACCTGGTTCAGCCAGACAAACGGATTGTGATCCGTGAGCAAGAAGAATGGTTGTCCATATAAATAAGCAACAGAAAGAAAAATAGAAGAGAAGGAAGAAGTATAATTGATGCCTATGTATACCTCCTAAATGGGGGTTAACCCCTGTAGAGAAATGGAAAAAGAAAAGAAGCGGAGAATACAATATTATATATAAACAATGGAATTCCATTGTTTATATATAATATTGTATCCTCCGCTTCTTTTCTTTTTCCATATAAATAAGGTTGTAACTTTTTCAGGGCCCACACCACGGTTAAGCATTCCTTCTCGATGGCGGCGTAGCTTACTTCTCAAGGTAACAGCTTGCAAATGATGTAAGTCACCGGATGTTCTAAACATAGAAGCGTCTGTGTGGACAAGAAAACGTTTTCAAGTTCGAGGATAGCAGCACATATTAAAATTAAAAATTAAAAATTAAAGGTATAACACCTTGGATATTTGAAATTTAAAGGCATAATACCCTGAATATATAATACTTAAAGGAAAAGCGCCTCAGATTAGTATCTATAAGAAATCGTTTAGTTGGATTAGGAGCTGCCAAGACAGGGGTGTGGCGAAAGTAACCTCGCCACTTGTACCTGGAGAGGACTAAAGGCCAGCCTCTTGCCTTGTGACTATGGCCCCTGGGCTGTATTGCCCTTCTAAAGCTCTGTTTGGGCTTATAGGACCTTAAACTACTCTTTCTGCCCCTTTAAGTTACATGGGAGCAGTTCTGCAACTTTAAATTGGCACTTCGGATACAGCTGAAGTGCCGAAGTAGTCGAAGTGGCCGCCATTCGCCAAACGAACACGCGGTGGTCATTATAATTCAGCGAACGCGGTCAGCGGTGTTTTGCTGTCGCGTTCATGGAACTAAAATCGGATACTCGACGGCACGAACACCACTGAAGTTTTAGCTTCCCTGGAACTATCACATTCGAATGGAGTCGAACGGTGTTCGACTATTCAAACGCCACGTTAAAATGGGCTATTTGCACGAATGGGACTTAGTCTCTTTTTCTATGTAAAATAGACCGACTGCACAGCCCAAATCTATGGAACTCTTTTGGGCAAGATAGCCATGCTGGAGGTCGGCCAAATTGGAGGTCGGCCAAATAGGACTTCCATCCATCTTTTGAACCACTGGACCAAATTGTATGATTTTTGAATATGTTTGTATACTGATTATACTGGTTCAGAATATGTAACTTTTATGGAAATTGCATGTATGGTTGGGAAGTTATGGATATTGGGTAAACCTGTATATTTTCTGCCTGTGATAATTAAGTTAACCCATTGTGTTCAGTACTTATATCACGGGCAGAAGGGAGGGTTTGTGTGCCTAACTGGGAGTGTCTGACTGTACTGTTCTGTTAGGATTGGCTGATGTAACTGCATGTCCTGTGTACCACAAGGTCCACGTGGGTGGTAACCTTGTGGGAAAACCTTTATAAAAGAAAGTCCTTTGGTGCTCATTAAATAAACCTGCTTGACCCTTTCTTGAAGTCTTGGCTCATGCTTAGGGGATGGGATAACTACACTCTTGGGATTGCTATAATCACACTATACTCCCCAGGGTAAGCTCTTGTAAGAGCTGTTCTTGTTCCTGCTACGCTCTCTGGAGGGAGAGAGGCCTGCCCACTGAAAGCTGGATCCTGGCCTTGGGTCCAGGGTGGGTAAAGGACGGCAAGACCCCGACGCAGCTGCATCGCTGGAAGTGGGGTCTCCAGGGATGATGGTGTCTGGTGGAGTGCTTGGAGTCCTCGGCAAGCGCTACGAGCATCGATTGATGGAGGTACTCGGTCAGCGTGCCAACGGTCCGTCACAAGGGGCATTCATAAGTGCTTGCTTCAGTTTTTGGAATGCCTGCTCGCATTTCGAAGGCCAGACTACCTGGTCGGGAAGATTCTTATGGGTCAGGTAGATAAGGGGCTTGGCCAGGGCACTATAATTGGGGACAAACTTTCTGTAGTAACCCGCTGTCCCTAGGAAGGACCTGAGTCTTTGTCCTGGGGTAGGCCACTGGGCCAATCCATTAATCTTCGCAGGCTCAGGCTTCTGTTGTTCTGTCACTATGACCCCCATATTAATAAAAGGGAGGTTAACTCCTCCCGCATGCCCCTTCTCGCTATTGCTGCCTAGTCGCTAGTGCAATAAGGGGCGGGGGTGGACCTGGCATAGTTTATATCCCCCCCACATGCCCCTGGCACTGGTTAAATCCTCTCCGCAAGTAGGGCATGTCGCCTAAACAGTAAGCAGCTAGTGGCTACTCGCTGCCATTAAAAACTATATATAAATCAGTATCTTATATAGAAGTGATAGAGAGCTACGACCAATAGCTATAGCAAAAACTATAACAATGTTGCAATATGAAAAAGTAGCTATTTAGATCAGTAACACAATAAGGCTGTGCTACTGATCTAAATAGCTACTTTTTTCACGTACTCTTACCATAGCTTTATCACTTCTATATAAGATACTGATTTATATGGAATTGATAGAGTTTAAAATGACCGTGAGCAGCCACTGGCTACTTTTTGTTTAGGAGACATGCCCCTACTACACGGGAGGACCTGACACAGGTCCCCCGTTCCCCCATGAACCAAAATAACTAAAATGGGGAGGCATAGTGCCCCCCGGGCCAGATTAAGAGCCCAGTGGGCCTGGTGCTGAGAATACCTCTTAAGCGTTATGTATCTGGTGGAGATGTTGCCGGAGGGAAACTCATAGGATGCAGATTCTCTTAAAATATGCTAATCTCTCTCTAATTCATGCTTTCATCTTTCAAGTAAATCCATACCCTCTAACAGCAGTGTCCAGTAAAGCAGGAAGTCAATGGGCGGTGTAAAAGGGTGGGCCACTGATGCAGATCATGTAACTAGAACTCCCGAAAGGGACGAAAATGCCCAAAAAGGAGGGGTGTCTGTCCAAAGAATTGGAAGGCTAACCTGGCATGAACACGTCAGGCTGCCTGCCAATCATGCATGCTGGCCAACAACCAGTGGCGTACACACAATCCATGGGGCCCTGGTGTGAAACTGATCCATGGGCTCCATTTTTATTTAGTACGAAGTCATTTGTACAAAACGAAAATTTCACTGGTGCACATGTCTATCCAAGACCCTGCTCCCAATTCAAGTGTACCTGGGCAGTTGACAGTCGGTAAACGGCTCACCCACCTACAGCGGCTACCGAACTTCCTGTTTGCGCCGACTCGGGAACCAAGTGTCGCTTGACTAGGGCGAGAGTGACCCCAGTGTCTCGAAGTCCTTGAACCATCTTGCCTTGTAGGCACACGGACTGACGATGGTGTTGGCGGTTGTCTTCTGACACTTGAACTGGGTCTGCTTCGTGCAGTACTTCCCAGTTCTCCTCTAGGCATTTTGAAGCGGAATAATGGGTGGGGGCCTCTGCATGGTAGTAATGGGCCGTTACTCTAGCTGCTGGGGGGGCCTGGGACAGGTCCACTGTGCCCCATCCTGGTTCTGGGAGCAGTCCCTTTTCATGTGCCCCATCTTTTTACACAAATTACATTGTACATTGTTTTGCTGTTGGAAGTGGGACGGTGGGGGGTTGAACGTACCTCCGCTTCTGAGCTGTATCACTGGTCCCGGAGGTGGTAAAGCTGGTTGAGGAAAATTCCTTGGCTTGGCCGGTCTTTGATGTCAGCGGGCATGTTGGTATTCATCTGCCCGCCTTGCTGCTTCTGTGATGGTGGTGTGATTGCGGTCCTATACCCACTCCTGCACTAGTAACACCAGCTGCAAAAGTTCCTCCATGGTGCTCACTGGGTGGGCTTGTACCCATCCCATAACAGCTCTGTGTAGCTGGTTTGCCCAATCGGCATGAGAAAGAGTATTTTTCGGTTTTCTTTCATTCTCTGAACCGCCTGCGGTATGCCTCTGGAGTGATGGCATACCTGGCTAGTATAACCAATTTGACCCGAACATAGTCCCGAATATCTTCGTCTGGGACTGTTCAGTATGCTTCAGCTGCTCTCCCCGACAGTCTGCTAGCCAGAAGCGTAACCCAATCCTCTGTGCTGGTCCGGTGCAAATTACATTGTCTTTCAAAGTCTTGGAGGAAGGCATCAATATCTTCCTCCGCATCAACAAAATTCTTAAATGCCCCATAGGGTATTTTCTTCTTACCCTTTTGAAAAATGGTTACTGCCTGAGCCCTTTTGTGTGTCGGTCGTTCAGTTCTTTTCATTACGAATTCCTAAACTTCCGACATCGTTTGGGCAATAATTTCTGTCTAAGGGTTCTCTCCAAAAAAGGATAGCCGAAAGTGTTCTTTTGAATGCACTTATTTCCCGTTTGGGCTGATCCAAAGTGCTGCCAGTTCGGTTCTCCTCCATCAGTTCGGCAATGAGGGTGCCTTTTTTATTGTTATTTGCCGCTATCCCTCTTGCTCCAGAAGATCCTTCAGCGTAGACCGTTTTAGAACGGTACAGTCGAACTCCATCCCCAGTCCATTCTGTACTACTATCCACCGACTGTGGCTCTTGTTCCTCCGTGAGCTCTGGATTTCGACGCTGCAAACCAATGTAGCGGAGCGCTAGTCCTGACAAGGACTTTTCCTCAACTATGCACTGAAATGTGAATAGCTCTATCCCTCCCCAGTAACTGGACGACACATAGTTCTGGGAGTACAACTTATTTATTCAGCTCAAACACAGCCTTTTATGCACAGACCCACAAAATAGTTCCAGGCATTCCACGACCATGTACCGCTGCCTGTGTTTGGGAGACAAAATGGCCGCCATTCGCTGGAGCACGTGTGTTTGGTTATACGAATGGCGGCCAACCAGGGAAAGCACTTGAGTTAACGACTTAATTGTGATTAACAGCCAGGGCTGATCTGTGTTCGGGGAGGTATAAAAGGGGGGACCACACACCATCCATTTGGGGCACGAACAAGGGGGTACAGACATCCAAACCAAAGGGGAATTAGTCTTTTACAATATCTATATCTATTCACACATTTGTTATGGGAAGTTGATATCCACATGAAAGAAAAGCCTGTAAACCCAAATTTATATAGCTGTGATTCTACAATACAACCAGCAGGTGTCACTCAACTCCTGATCTATATGATACTCATGCCACCATTCAAACTGAAAAAGTGAATGTATTCTACTAAAGATTGATACATTCTCACTTTTTCAGTTATTCGTGTAAGAAAGAATCCATGAACTCCAGGCTCCAAAATTTTTCTTTAGATGGGCTGA